ATTGATGGATTAAACTTAGAAATGGACAATTTGTCCAGAATTAACAGCTATTTTCTTCTTTCCTGGCAAAACTTAATTTACTCTCTCACACTGACCAAGAAAATGGCATTGTTGAGAACTATCTATCTAGTCATTTCATCAAAATTTTTAAAACAAAAAAACAAAAAAACGATCAAACTGTTATTTAATGGCATGTGTAGTTAGTTTAAGTAGTTAATGGTTTATTATCTTTTAGCAAAGCGATATACATATTGTTTGGATGAATTCATGCATCAACATATAGAAACATATATACTTCCGAAAACATAATTATTTCTTCTTTTTTTTTTTTGCTAAGTATTTTCTTGCCTAGGTTAAAATTAGAAAAATATATTTCCTTAGCTTGGTGACAACTAAAATGTCTCCAAAATGTTCTCAATTCAACTTCGTTAAATAGATCAATAAAAAGGAAACTACTACTTTTCCAATTATTTCCTTAATCCGTGGGCGGTAATCGAGTATGATTTACATGTATTAAGTATATAGAAAATCTAATTTTTCCAATTATTTCCTTAATCCGTGCCAGTAGAACGGGGTTGGACGCTAGTCCTCACCAAATTGGACTTGGGTCCCATCTATAGATTCATATTTAAAATTAGGTTGGCGACCTGTATCTCTTTTCAGAATCAAAAGGCTAGACTTTTCGCAGGCAGCAAAATTATGCACTTCCATTTTAATTAATTTGTCATAAATGTAAAACTGATATTGCGTGAGACTGGAGTTTAGTTGATTGAGTAACGGATATTGTGATAGCTGTCAACCGAAACAAGACGAAGCAAATTTACAAAAAAAAAAAAAATTTGGAGTCACCATTCAACTGGCGCGCGGCCCATGGACGTAGAGTTAGGGGGCCATTTGCATTTCGGCTAGGCCACTTGCTTTGGTATTTTTACTTTTAGTGGAGCATTATTTAGTATGGTATCTTCAAATCCTCTTCTTTGTGCAGCGTCTCTCACCATTATTGCAACTAGTGCTCAATGCACATACGATATGCGTGCAATGAAAAAATATAAAATATTTATAACCATGTATTTTGAATAAATTTTTTTATTGTTAAAGCAAACTTTAATCTTTTAAATATTTTTCATAAAATAATTTTATATTGATAATTACAATGTTTAGGAAAAATATATATTTAAATAATTAAAAATAAAAATAGTCATGAGTAATTATAAATAGTCGAAATAAGAATTTTTTACAAAAGAAAAAAAAATTCCGATAAATGTTAATTTCAAATCCCTTTCCCGGGCTTTATGTGCAACATAGATACTTGCTCATCATATCTGCCACCAGTAGCTGAGCGAGGCATGCGAAGAAAGAGAATGCCGATGATACCCTTCTTTTTAAAAAAAAAAAAAAAATTCTGTATCGGGGAGTGAACCGTTGTGTAATCAATCTCATTATTTGTCCATGACAAGGACCTGAGCATTATCGTGTATCTCCGGATTCTGGAAGGGGGAGACAATCCAATGATATTGTAGTTGATCTTGTCCAACAGCAGAAAATAGCAGCCTAACCTGTAGGTGATAATTGGCGGAAGAGGTTTTACTAGTTCTTGATAGTAACTGCTTTCACTAACCATAAAAAAGGTGATACTAGTACTTACCGAGTCTATTCACTGTCACGGTCAATATTCATATGTTAATGTCTCTTTAAGGTCCACCTTTACAAGAACTTTGAAATTAAGGTCAACAAATTTCATAATTAGCTAAAACTAAGGTTTGGAAGATTGCCAATTAGTACAGGTGGCAGGTTGGACGGTCCATTAGACAACCACTATCAATATACCACGTGTACTCAATTCAATCTACTCAACGTCATTTTAACTAATTCAAATTCGTTCGAGTCACACATTTTGACACGTCTGTCTGCCCAATAGTACAGTATACCATATTTTTCATCAAAACCAAGCGGATGTAAATACTCCAATTTGTTGCCGAATGTAGGATCCCTTATTTGACCTGGCATCTGCTTGTCTGCGCTGAGCCTGTTTCTCAAGACAACAGATTGTAGTTGCTGGTAATGTATGATGATGACCACCGGGACCAAGATGTATTCTAGACAGAATTCATTAATAAAATTTGAAAAGACAAAAAAGACAGAGAAAAACAAGGAATTTATGACTGGACCACCGTTCCTGTTGGGGGCGTCAGTTCATGGACCACAAACGGAAGAGGGCTTTCTACATTGGGCTCAGCACGCAACCCTGAAAGGGGCGTCCAACTGTAATTAAACGTCTGGGCCGACATGTTGGGCTTGAGGACTGGACTTTCTCCAACCAACTTGCCGGAGTAGAATTGCCCATGGCCTTACTAATTTGACAGCAAATGGCCGGGCAGCATTGAAAAAGCACCTAACCGCTCTTTTCATTTTCGCCCCTCACTCATCTCTTTTTATCTCTCACTACAATATCATCTCCTATTCTTAAATTCCAATTTAAATTTCCATTCAGTAGTCAACAAAAGTGTTATGATTCCCATTTTAACTTAAGAGCATCCACAATACTATTACACCTTGTGGAGTGTAATCCACATGCTACGTCAGCATTCCACTTTCTCCTCTTTTATTACACTTTCACTCACAATGGATTACACTCCATAAGGTGTAATAACATGGATCCACAATTAAATCAAATATTTATTTTAATAATGCATAACTCATATCCCATAAATAAATAAAGTAATTTTTAAAAATAATTTTGTTATTTTTAAAAAATAAAGTACTAACTTTCATTAAATTTTTTACATTTTGAATTTTTTATTTTCTAAAAATGATATTATTAATTTTTAAGTTTGAATAATATATCTTTTCTATCTTTCAAAAATAATATATTGTTTTTTTTTCAAAAATAATTATGCAGGAAATTAAACAAATATTTGATGCCTCAAATGCGAAGATATCATAATAACCCATACTTAATTAATAATTCGGAATATAATTAGTTGAACTCCATAACATAATATTACATAATTTAAATCAAATAAAATACAAATAATAACAAAATGAATACTAGTTTTCATTGTCATTGCCTTCGAATCGTTCCCAAAGTGTTGTGTGTTTATATAGAAGACTAAAATCTAACCGTTGGAAAGCTAAAATGTGTTGTGTGCTGGCAAACTTACCGTTGAAGCTAAAATTGGTGGCTAGAATTATTTTACATTTAATCATGGGTCCCACCTTCTAATAAATTACACGCATCATATCCATGATGCGTGTAATCTCCATGACACGACTCCAATGGGAGACCGTGTCATGGAGCGGTGTAATGGAGGGCCATTACACCCGCGCTGTGGATGCCCTAAGAACTGATCATCACAATCTCAATGACACGACTCCAATGAGAGACCGTGTCATGGAGCGGTGTAATGGAGGGCCATTACACCCGCGCTGTGGATGCCCTAAGAACTGATCATCACAACTTATAATATTTGAGAGGAGCTAAAGTCAGCTTATAATAATGAAGAGGGGCTAAATTCTATAATCAGACTTTTACGAAGAAACACATGTACTTTGCATAATATAGAATAATAGATGATATATACTTTTCTTCCTGCCTAGTTTGAGTGTAATCATTGCACATAAAACTCCCGTTCTTCCTTCCAACCCTCGTGCTGGATTGACTTGCTTAATTGCTGATTCAATTTTGAAAGAGTACGACTTCAAGAATAGTGAGTGTGCTTGGATAGTAAATTATTTGAAATAAATTTGTGAAAAAATACTGTAGCACTCTTTTGATGCGATGTATGTAAGATAAAAAAAGTAGTTGAAAATGTGTTAATAATGTAAGCAAGTCAGTGCGTGTAAAAAATGTGAAAATAATGTGTAATCCAAACACACTCACCGGATTGGCTCCTAATTAAGATTTGGATGAACTTTGTGGTTTAATCAGTAGGGCTTTACGTCGGAGGGACGAGAGGATGGATGCTGAAGGGATGTTGGGATCTCGGGGGAATTATGTGATTTTCTTTAAATCTACCCTTTTTTTTGTCAAAACTACTTTTTGATTTTTTTTCCTTTAAATCTACTTAGGCCCTATTTGGTAAATAAGTTTTTTGGTTATTTGTCTAAAATTTTATTGTAACTTACTGTAGAAGTTGTAAAATTTTTTTTTGAAGTGTATAAATTTTTGGATATTTTGAAGTAATTTTTTGGATATTTTGAAGAATATAATTTAAAATTTTTGAAAATTTTTTGAAGTTATTATAACTGTTTTTAAAAAACTTGCAACAAATAAACTTAGCCAAAACTTGCTTGCAAACAAGGCCTTAGTTATTGGACAAACTGGAAACGCATCAACGCACATGTAATCTTGCGGTGAAAAAGCGTCCGTAACATTACGGACTGTGATCGTGTCTTTTTCTATACAATATATAAGAAGAGGGCATTGACAGCCAGTGTAAATATTTTCTACAATTTTTTTTCGAACTTTCAATTTTATTCTTAGAAAATTAATTTTTTACCCTAACTCACGTGATCACATTTACCAACATAATCACTCTAAATATTGCAATTACCAAATTATCTATTTTTAATTGAAGAAAAAATTAATTATAGATTGAAGTTTGTTAATGAAAAGTTCTTATAAAATTTATTAATGAAAAAATAAAATTTACAAATTCATAAAAAATAATAATGATTTCTAAATTGCACACACATTGATTGTGCTTTTTAACACTAATATCAATTATTTAAGATTGGCTCGCACACACACATATATATAAATATATAAAGAATACTCTTACTTAAAAATCACTGAAAGACAAAAATAAAAAAAGAGACATCAGTCAACATAATAAAATAAAACACTGCAAGAGCCTAATCTATAGTAATTCATAAGGAACGAACACTAACAACACTGTGAAAAACCATCCATAAACTAAACGCTAAAAAGAAAACTGCTAAAAGCCATGCATATATTAAACTTATTATAGAATCCTACTGACTTCGCCAACCACAGATCTTCAAACCTGCAGAGAATTTCCGAAGTCATCAGAACCATAAGGAACGATGGAGTTGTTGCAGTATTCAGTCGTCGTCTGATTGAAGAACATATCATCACAACCAACTGCAGTCACGCCGGGATTGATATCACCGCTATTATTAAAGCCCAAATTAGTTGAAGAAGAAGAAGAATTTATCAACAGCATCAAGTCATCGGCTCTCATCAACAGCTTTTTCTTCAACTCTTCCAATGAAGCTTTATACTGTTGAAGCTCCTCCAAACCCATATGCTCAATTGGGTCATCCCACCAAAAACTCCCGCCGTTCTCTAACTTCGAACCTTCAATCAATTCCTTTCTTTTTCTCTCGACTTCTAATTTTTTGGACACTTTAGCATAGTGTCGGTTGTGTTGTTGAATCTCATGAGCACCCAACAGGGTATTCGGATCAGCAACGGATGACGAGGATGATGATGATGATGATGATGATGATGCCGATCCCGTGGTATAGCGGTTAATAACAGCGTCAATGTTGGGGTGACCAAAGGCAAAGACGCGCTTGCCCAAAGAATGAACGATGATGGCAACTTCTGCCCCGGTCAAGACGCAAAGTTCACTTGCTTTCTTGAAGAGACTGACTCTTCGCTTGGAGAAGGCTACTTTCCTGTTGCTCAAGTTGTCTATCTTCTTGATCTCGATTTTTTTTCGACCTTGGGTCGTCTTCTTCTTCATCATCATGTTGTTCATTTTCGCCATTTTTTTTTTTGTCTTTTGGTGGGATTTTGGTGAATTAAGGGCTAGCTTCAATGCTTTGGCATCCCATCCTATTATTATATAAGGTTCCACCTTCCTTAATATTTACCCGTAATTTTCTTTCCTAAAAACGTCAAAGATTTTATTGTGATTCGGTCGATATTTTTTCTCCAGTTTCCATTGTTTCGCCCTCCTAATTTCCCCTTGATTGATGGATTAAACTTAGAAATGGATGATTTATGTAGAGTAACATCTCTATATTTTTCGACAAAATATAAATTAGTGTTAACTCCCCATTGATTGATGGATTAAACTTAGAAATGGACAATTTGTCTAGAATTAACAGCTATTTTCTTCTTTCCTGGCAAAACATAATTTACTCTCTCACACTGACCAAGAAAATGGCATTGTTGAGAACTATCTATCTAGTCATTTCATCAAAATTTTTAAAACAAAAAAACAAAAAAGCGATCAAACTGTTATTTAATGGCATGTGTAGTTAGTTTAAGTAGTTAATGGTTTATTATCTTTTAGCAAAGCGATATACATATTGTTTGGATGAATTCATGCATCAACATATAGAAACATATATACTTCCGAAAACATAATTATTTCTTCTTTTTTTTTTTGCTAAGTATTTTCTTGCCTAGGTTAAAATTAGAAAAATATATTTCCTTAGCTTGGTGACAACTAAAATGTCTCCAAAATGTTCTCAATTCAACTTCGTTAAATAGAAAGGAAACTACTTTTCCAATTATTTCCTTAATCCGTGGGCGGTAATCGAGTATGATTTACATGTATTAAGTATATAGAAAATCTAATTTTTCCAATTATTTCCTTAATCCGTGCCAGTAGAACGGGGTTGGACGCTAGTCCTCACCAAATTGGACTTGGGTCCCATCTATAGATTCATATTTAAAATTAGGTTGGCGACCTGTATCTCATTTCAGAATCAAAAGGCTAGACTTTTCGCAGGCAGCAAAATTATGCACTTCCATTTTAATTAATTTGTCATAAATGTAAAACTGATATTGCGTGAGACTGGAGTTTAGTTGATTGAGTAACGGATATTGTGATAGCTGTCAACCGAAACAAGACGAAGCAAATTTACAAAAAAAAAAAAAAAATTTGGAGTCACCATTCAACTGGCGCGCGGCCCATGGACGTAGAGTTAGGGGGCCATTTGCATTTCGGCTAGGCCACTTGCTTTGGTATTTTTACTTTTAGTGGAGCATTATTTAGTATGGTATCTTCAAATCCTCTTCTTTGTGCAGCGTCTCTCACCATTATTGCAACTAGTGCTCAATGCACATACGATATGCGTGCAATGAAAAAATATAAAATATTTATAACATGTATTTTGAATAAATTTTTTATTGTTAAAGCAAACTTTAATCTTTTAAATATTTTTCATAAAATAATTTTATATTGATAATTACAATGTTTAGGAAAAATATATATTTAAATAATTAAAAATAAAAATAGTCATGAGTAATTATAAATAGTCGAAATAAGAATTTTTTACAAAAGAAAAAAAAATTCCGATAAATGTTAATTTCAAATCCCTTTCCCGGGCTTTATGTGCAACATAGATACTTGCTCATCATATCTGCCACCAGTAGCTGAGCGAGGCATGCGAAGAAAGAGAATGCCGATGATACCCTTCTTTTTAAAAAAAAAAAAAAAATTCTGTATCGGGGAGTGAACCGTTGTGTAATCAATCTCATTATTTGTCCATGACAAGGACCTGAGCATTATCGTGTATCTCCGGATTCTGGAAGGGGGAGACAATCCAATGATATTGTAGTTGATCTTGTCCAACAGCAGAAAATAGCAGCCTAACCTGTAGGTGATAATTGGCGGAAGAGGTTTTACTAGTTCTTGATAGTAACTGCTTTCACTAACCATAAAAAAGGTGATACTAGTACTTACCGAGTCTATTCACTGTCACGGTCAATATTCATATGTTAATGTCTCTTTAAGGTCCACCTTTACAAGAACTTTGAAATTAAGGTCAACAAATTTCATAATTAGTTAAAACTAAGGTTTGGAAGATTGCCAATTAGTACAGGTGGCAGGTCGGACGGTCCATTAGACAACCACTATCAATATACCACGTGTACTCAATTCAATCTACTCAACGTCATTTTAACTAATTCAAATTCGTTTGAGTCACACATTTTGACACGTCTGTCTGCCCAATAGTACAGTATACCATATTTTTCAGCAAAACCAAGCGGATTTAAATACTCCAATTTGTTGCCGAATGTAGGATCCCTTATTTGACCTGGCCTCTGCTTGTCTGCGCTGAGCCTGCTTCTCAAGACAACAGATTGTAGTTGCTGGTAATGTATGATGATGACCACCGGGACCAAGATGTATTCTGGACAGAATTCATTAATAAATTTGAAAAGACAAAAAAGACAGAGAAAAACAAGGAATTTATGACTGGACCACCGTTCCTGTTGGGGGCGTTAGTTCATGGACCACACACGGAAGAGGGCTTTCTACATTGGGCTCAGCATGCAACCCTGAAAGGGACGTCCAATTGTCATTAAACGTCTCGTGGACCTATTTTGGGCCGACATGTTGGGCTTGAGGACTTGAGTTTCTCCAAAACAACTTGCCGGTGTAGAATTGCCCATGGCCTTACTAATTTGACAGCAAATAGCCGGGCAGCATTGAAAAAGCATTACAATTATATTAATCGCAGACCAGATCCTCCCACTACCCATCCCAATACCTAACCTCTCTTTTCATTTTCGCCCCTCGCCCCTCTCTTTTTATCTCTCACTACAATATCATCTCCTATTCTTAAATTCCAATTTAAATTTCCATTCAGTAGTCAACAAAAGTGTTATGATTCCCATTTTAACTTAAGAGCATCCACAATACTATTACACCTTGTGGAGTGTAATCCACATGCTACGTCAGCATTCCACTTTCTCCTCTTTTATTACACTTTCACTCACAATGGATTACACTCCATAAGGTGTAATAACATGGATCCACAATTAAATCAAATATTTATTTTAATAATGCATAACTCATATCCCATAAATAAATAAAGTAATTTTTAAAAATAATTTTGTTATTTTTAAAAAATAAAGTACTAACTTTCATTAAATTTTTTACATTTTGAATTTTTTATTTTCTAAAAATGATATTATTAATTTTTAAGTTTGAATAATATATCTTTTCTATCTTTCAAAAATAATATATTGTTTTTTTTTCAAAAATAATTATGCAGGAAATTAAACAAATATTTGATGCCTCAAATGCGAAGATATCATAATAACCCATACTTAATTAATAATTCGGAATATAATTAGTTGAACTCCATAACATAATATTACATAATTTAAATCAAATAAAATACAAATAATAACAAAATGAATACTAGTTTTCATTGTCATTGCCTTCGAATCGTTCCCAAAGTGTTGTGTGTTTATATAGAAGGCTAAAATCTAACCGTTGGAAAGCTAAAATGTGTTGTGTGCTGGCAAATTTACCGTTGAAGCTAAAATTGGTGGCTAGAATTATTTTACATTTAATCATGGGTCCCACCTTCTAATAAATTACACGCATCATATCCATGATGCGTGTAATCTCCATGACACGACTCCAATGGGAGACCGTGTCATGGAGCGGTGTAATGGAGGGCCATTACACCCGCGCTGTGGATGCCCTAAGAACTGATCATCACAATATATGATGCGTGTAATCTCCATGACACGACTCCAATGAGAGACCGTGTCATGGAGCGGTGTAATGGAGGGCCATTACACCCGCGCTGTGGATGCCCTAAGAACTGATCATCACAACTTATAATATTTGAGAGGAGCTAAAGTCAGCTTATAATAATGAAGATGGGCTAAATTCTATAATCAGACTTTTACGAAGAAACACATGTACTTTGCATAATATAGAATAATAGATGATATATACTTTTCTTCCTGCCTAGTTTGAGTGCAATCATTGCACATAAAACTCCCGTTCTTCCTTCCAACCCTCGTGCTGGATTGACTTGCTTAATTGCTGATTCAATTTTGAAAGAGTACGACTTCAAGAATAGTGAGTGTGCTTGGATAGTAAATTATTTGAAATAAATTTGTGAAAAAATACTGTAGCACTCTTTTGATGCGATGTATGTAACATAAAAAAAGTAGTTGAAAATGTGTTAATAATGTAAGCAAGTCAGTGCGTGTAAAAAATGTGAAAATAATGTGTAATCCAAACACACTCACCGGATTGGCTCCTAATTAAGATTTGGATGAACTTTGTGGTTTAATCAGTAGGGCTTTACGTCGGAGGGACGAGAGGATGGATGCTGAAGGGATGTTGGGATCTCGGGGGAATTATGTGATTTTCTTTAAATCTACCATTTTTTTTGTCAAAACTACTTTTTGATTTTTTTTTTCCTTAAATCTACTTAGGCCCTATTTGGTAAATAAGTTTTTTGGTTGTTTATCTAAAATTTTATTGTAACTTACTGTAGAAGTTGTAAAAATTTTTTTTGAAGTGTATAAATTTTTGGATATTTTGAAGTAATTTTTTGGATACTTTGAAGAATATAATTTAAAATTTTTGAAAATTTTTTGAAGTTATTATAACTATTTTTAAAAAACTTGCAACAAATAAACTTAGCCAAAACTTGCTTGCAAACAAGGCCTTAGTTATTGGACAAACTGGAAACTCATCAACGCACATGTAATCTTGCGGTTAAAAAGCGTCCGTAACATTACGGACTGTGATCGTGTCTTTTTCTATACAATATATAAGAAGAGGGCATTGACAGCCAGTGTAAATATTTTCTACAATTTTTTTTCGAACTTTCAATTTTATTCTTAGAAAATTAATTTTTTACCCTAAGTCATGTGATCACATTTACCAACATAATCACTCTAAATATTGCAATTACCAAATTATCTATTTTTAATTGAAGAAAAAATTAATTATAAATTGAAGTTTGTTAATGAAAAGTTCTTATAAAATTTATTAATGAAACAATAAAATTTACAAATTCATAAAAAATAATAATGATTTCTAAATTGCACACACATTGAGTGTGCTTTTTAACACTAATATCAATTATTTAATATTGGATCGCACACACATATATATAAATATATGCACGCATAGAGGGGGAGATAAAGAATACTCCTACTTAAAAATCACTGAAAGACAAAAACAAAAAAAAGAGACATCAGTCAACACAATAAAATAAAACACTGCAAGAGCCTAATTTATAGTAATCATAAGGAACGAACACTAACAACACTGTGAAAAACCATCAATAAACTAAACAGTAAAAAAAAACTGCTGAAAGCCATGCATATATTAAACTTATCCTGACTTTGCCAACCACAGATCTTCAAACCTGCAGAGAATTTCCGAAGTCATCAGAACCATAAGGAACGATGCAGTTGTTGCAGTATTCAGTCGTCGTCTGATTGAAGAACATATCATCACAACCAACTGCAGTCACGCCGGGATTGATATCACCGCTATTATTTAAGCCCAAATTAGTTGAAGAAGAAGAAGAATTTTGGCTGGCTTTTCTCATGAGATCAAATGCCTCGCCTCTTTTCTTCTCAACTTCTAATTCACTGAGAATTTGAGTGAGCTGCAAGTTGAGCTCCCGGACACTACTGGCATTCCTGTGAGCCCCAACGAGGTGGAGTGCACTCGAGTTTGGCTGAGGATTTCTGCATCGCGCAATGAATTTATCGATTATGTAATCGACACTAGGATGGCCAAAAGAAAATACTTTTCACGCTGGGGAAAAAACTATAATGGCTAATTCAACGCCACAGAGAGTGCTGAGTTCGTGCGCCTTCTTATAGAGTCCCGAACGGCGTTTTGAGAATGTAACTTGGAGATGATTCTTGATCTCAATTTTTGCAATTTTGATCTTTTGGCGACCCATGCTAGGTTTCTTTGCCATGATCTTCTTCTGAATACAAGAGGGAGAGAGGTTTTTTAGGTTAGGTTTGGTGGTTCTATGAAGAGTTATGGATAAAGTGGAGAAGCAACAATTTAAAGGGCCTCAAGTTTACTCTTGAATCTGGATAGATTGATTGTAATTTGTGCTAGCTAGTATATGTAATCATTAGGCATAATTACCCTTGATTTGGGAGTTTAAAAAAATCTTAGATCTTAATGCTATGATGGTGTGACATAAATCTTCTCTTAGTTGGCATTACAAGGTGAAGTATCAGTTATTATTGCAAGCCAAAGTCAACTCATATATATGTGTTTCTCTACTCATTTTGGGTATGAATTGATGATCAATTGGCACTCACACTCACTCTGTAGGCATTTGTTAGAGCACAGAAAGTGCTTTTGGCACGTTACTTATGTCTTCATAAAGAGCCGAAAGATGGAAGAGCATTTATAGAGGAGCAAAATGCTGTGTATAACTGTTTTTACCATAAAACGCTAGTAGTAATTAGGATAAGAAGTGAATCATAACGTAAGTGAATTGGCAGCAGCTTCACTTCACATGCCCTATATGCTAAGAACTAAGAGGGCAAATGGGTAAATAGGAATTGTGGCTTTTTTTTTGTCACAAAGGAATTGTAGCTATTTACCTCCTGCTATTAATTAATAATTACAGGGATTTTGTTAACAAGTGAAGAAATCGGTGAAAAAAAGTAAAACCTTAAAATTTAGGAAATAAAGCTAAGATGCAAAAGCTACCACGAATCAAAAAATTTAAGAAGATGCCAAATTGATAATTAGTCACACGTTCTTACTTGAAAGTGATTAGAAAACACTTGGTAAGAAATCTTCCAAAGATTCAAATATAGTATGATATATGCCAGCTATTAACGGAAAGCCATACAATAATCTGACAACCTTCAACTAGTTATCATCATTGTCTTTAAAGTAACAAAGGGTCATCAAAGCAAGAATTCTATCGTCATATCTGGATCAATAGTACTTTCTAAGGTTTTTGTTGGGGTTTTTTTGTAGGTCAGTATCATACAGTTATGACAAGCTGAAAACCCCAGTAAACCTTATTCGCTGAACTTTGATCTCAAGGCCCATGGATTAAATCCGCCCAACTTTTCTCTACCTATTTAGCTAATATCCTATTGATTATCATTGTGAACTCTCCATGGTTCAAAACACTATACAATCATCGTCTATTCCTTTTGTTTTTACTCTTCTTCTTCTTTTGTACTACAAGGGGAAACATCGTTTGTCTATCGGTATTGTAAAAGGAACTAACGTGTACACGTGCAAGTATGAGAAAACCAACATAAGAAACAGGAACAACATGCTATTCATTTTTTTTTCAGTAATTCATTCAAATATTGGACGAAAATTTACTCATTATGATCAAACATTTTGCACAAGAATGGTGAATTTTATTGTAAAGGACGTTTCGTCCAATCAAAATGGAACCTAAATGCTTTTCATTTGTAGCGATGCACTTTCGAACCGTGATCCTAAACAACTTAGTATAGTGTCAATCAGGCATCAAAACCACGAATTGGGATTCTGTGATGTTGGCAGAAGACTTTTAAAGGTTTTAATTGTGGGGATCGACCAAGCAAGGCTAGAGCTTATCTTGATTGTTGATTTAAAATTTATTTAAATTTCAAATTAATAGCTGAGATTAGTTCGAACCAACTCGGTCGAACCAACTGTTAAATGTATTATGCAAGTGTTTCTACAACTATTAGAATTGTTAATGGAGTCGAATTAGTCTGAGTCTGACCCATTCGGTTAAAAAAAAAAATACCGTTCGATTTTATCTTTAATCGGACTTGACAGATTTTGACCCTGAATATTAAACTCGAATTAAATATGAGCTAATTTAGGATCTTACTAGGTTAAACCTCTGACTTTGAAACGTTTATACAAGTGTGAGTTGAATTTGAATCTTTTAACGAAATCCAAACCTAAAAGCACCATTTAATTTGTGAGTAAAGTTTGGACTTATCAAAACCCTATTCAAAAAACTCGACTAATAGCCCTAGCAATCGCGAAGAATTTAGATCCTCAAAACAAGTACTAAACTTTATAAAAATTGTTATAAATGTGAATACCTAGCATCAAGATGAGTACATTAATCCGAGAGAGGAGAGAGGGGGAAGGGATGTGATAGATGATAGGGCAGAAAGGAGTTGTGAGAGATCAAAAGTTCAAGACATTCCACTTATAAAAAAAAAGTCCAAAAAAAAAAAGATGAGTACATTAACAAATTGAATGCGTTGTTTAAGAATTCTTTCTGGAAACTATTTTTAAACATTTTTTTGGGGAAAATTTTCACATGTATAGGTTGTTTGATGTTTCACCGAAATGGACGAAGGAAGCTAAGAATTACGAAGCCGTTCTGCCTTCGGTATCGAAAAGCATTAGTTTGGATAGATTTTTAATTTTTAATTTTAGCCTCTCGATATTTACCTAGTATACCTACTGAAAAACCCTATTATACTGGTGTGAAGAGATATTAGGGGAAAAAAAGTCCAAACTAAGTCATGCAATTCTTTAACGCTATTATTATTATTATTTCACATCTTTGTTTGACAGTTTCATCGCATGCGGCAGTCTAGAAGATTAAAGCCAGAAAAAAAGTTTCTTATGTTTTTTCTTGTTACTTTACAATCATCTCCTATTGGTTTCTTTCCTTGATTCCAAATACGGGATAGATTGGTAATACATCGAAAAAGAAAACTTTATCCCATTTTTACTGTTTTGGCATAAAAGGCTTCTTGTACAACATCAACAAAAATACACAGGAATAAAGTAGATAAGATTAATACCCAGACTTACTTATACGGTACAATACAGACACCCAAATATGATTCAACAGAACAAAATACTACTACAATAGATCAGACCAATTTCTGGATATATGATTTAGAAAAATCCACGACCATATCCAAGTGCAAACCCATGAGGAGTCATAGAAAGTCCCAGACCAGGAGGAGGAACCTTAGCGTCAATGTTACTTGGACCAACATGGCCTCCTCCCTTGGAACTCGATGACCCAAGAAACGCAGTCGCGTTGGAAGCCTCCACCATCAACTTCTCTGCCTGATTGGCCACATTCTTCTTCAGCTCCTCCATGGCCGCCTTTAGTTGCTCCAGTTCTTGAAGTCCAAGATCATTAACCGGAGCCTCCCACCAGCATCTTCCTTGACTCGCTGTCCTCAGTTTGATCAGCTCCTCACCACGCTTTCTCTCAGCGTCTAACTGATTAAGCATTTCAGTCAATTGCATGTTGAGTTCGCGAATGCTCGCTGCCCTGTGTGCCTCAACAATTTGCGAACTGCTCGAACTCGGGCCAGCTTTTCCGGTTACGAAACGATCGATGATGGAGTAAAGGCAAGGATGGCCATAGGAGAAAACCTTTTTCCCTGGGGAGAAAACGATTATTGCAATTTCAGCACCACAAAGTGTGTGGAGTTCATAAGCCTTCTTGAAAAGGCCAGAGCGGCGCTTTGAGAAAGTAACAAGTAAGTTGCTTTCTTTTGACATTCTTGTCATTTCAATCTTTTGCCTACCCTTGCTCTTTCTTGCCATTGTTTAAGCAGGAATTATGTTCCAATGGGAGGAATGTGGCTGGGGATTTAAAGGGTGTGTTCATTTTCCTAGAAGTTTCTGCCACATCGTTGTAGATTTTTGCTACCATTTAGGATATGACTATTAACTTCTTGTTACCTTTTAAGCCAAGACTGTTAACTTGTTCTTACCTTTTGGTCACATTCACAGCCTAATCCAGAATAGACAAAAAAGAAAAAAAAGAGTAAGCAATTAAAAGGCATGTAACACTTGAATGGTAAATGCTGATATATAGATAAGAACTTACAAAATAGTAGTAATTATTATTGCATAAGATTTTTTTTTGGGCGATTCTAATCTCAATGTGAAAATACTGGATACATAAAAGGAATGATATGTAAATTTCCAAAACCCCAAAAAAAAAAAAAAGTAATACGACATGCCACTACATTGTAATCACAAGAATGTAAAATAATTTTTTGTTACTTTGTCAAGTACTCATGTCAATTAAGGTAATAAGCGATCGGACCGTTATTTGAAAAAAGAACACTCGTTTCGACGTAATATTGAGCGGGCAAACACCATGCACATGTAACTTTTTCCAAATGAAATAAAATAAAAGCATGCCATAGTTTATAATTAATGTTATTATCTTCTCAGTTATGATACAAATTTATTACTAATAATAATAATAATTAAGACTGCTTACAAGATTTTTGAAGATTTTGATTTCTTCTTAATATACTTACCTTAGCTTAGTATTTAGTAGCAGCTTATATCAGAGACGTAGTAAATATCATCAATTATTTATGGAAATATGCATTGATAATTACTATTCTTATTATTAGTCATTGCGAAATATTAAAGGTTAAGAAGCCATTAATAATGTTACAGATTTCAATGTTTTCAAGTCGTTTCCAATGTGTACTTATATATCCTGAGCTAATACAACTCTTGCCCGCTTATGTAGCCTTGTTTAATCATATGCCATAATTAGTTTCTAAGCGTTTGCATGCACGTTGCAGACCACGTCAAATGATGGCCTGTGCGCCCGACCAATGAAATCGCTCCACTTTACTGATAGCAACAGCTGTGTTCGTTAGACAAAAAAAAAAAAAAAGGAAAAAAACAGCTGCTGTGACTTGAGACCAAAGAATTGTATGAATATGCTCGTAAATTCCAATTCATTTTAGGCTTAATTACATTTACCTCCCCTGAAGTCGGGCCAAAACACCAAATAAGCTCTATAGCTTGACCAAATTATAATTATACCCTTACAATGGATGGTGTCTAAACCCCTGTTAACTGAGATACTGAAATGATAAAAATGCCCTTATTCCTACAATTTGCAAATTTTAACTAATCCTTGTCAAAAAAGCAAAGAGAGAGAGAGAGAGAGAGAAGAAAAGATAGGAAGAAAGAAAGAGAATACAATCTAAACATAATAATTTTTGCATTCCAAAGAGAAGTTAATGAATAAATTAGAAGAAGTAAAGAAACAAAAATAACGAAAAACAATTTCTTAATAACATGCATACAGGACATAACAAACCAACATAAAGGAAAATGATGTAAGTAAACATAAAGGGTAGGAAAGAGAAAAGGTAACTAAATAGGTTGGTGAAAGGAAATTGAGGAAATATGGAAAAGAAAAAGAGTGTAGTATGTTTTTCTATTCCACTAACTTGTTTTTGTTCTTCAATTATTCGATCGGACTTCCCCTTGCTTCATTAATATCCCTGCTACTGCTGCATTACTGTAACTTCAGCTCTAAATCTTCTTTTTATGAAAAATTCGAAACTCTATTCTTTCTCCAAAACCACCATCCAGGCTTCATTAACTCTCTCCTTTTGTGCACCAAATTTGATGAGCCATTTCCCTTTTACAATTACCTTCATTTCTTTCTTGATTCTCTTTTATTCCAATCACAAATATTCAGGCTCAAACAAATATAGTAGGGCCTACACAAAGCATACATTTTTATTTTTTTTTGACGATTTGGTACACATCCAACTTAATTTTATAACACTTTAAGAGCTCGTAATTGTTGCATTTGGATTTAATTTTTGCTGTGTTAATGAAAAGGATATACTGATGTATGGATGGATGTTCATGGGATTCATGTTTGTATTTTGATTGTGAATTCATGATTATCGAATTTGGCAGCAGCCAACTTGGTGGACTTTTGCAAATTACGTAGATTCCGGTAGAAGGAAATGAGGAATTTATGGTTTCAAGGGCATTTTAGGATTTCTAGCATAAGACGATGTTGATAACATTAATGACGAGAGGACCAATAATGTTAGTAAAATAATTAACTCACATCAAAAAGTGTCTTTATTATATTTGTTTACCACAAAGAGGGTTATCTATAACTTTGTAGAATTATAGAGTTTATTTGGCAATTTGGTTAAACCTCAAAGGAGCTAAAGGAAAATATAACTAACTTTCCTTTACTCTTCCATATTTTTCTTTACCAACAAATACTACCTTAATTTTCTGCACATTGCATCCAAATTTACAGGACTTTAAAGGAAAAATATTTGATTACCACAATATTTTCAATAAGTATAATTAACTACTTATTTTATCTACAAATTTTTCTTGTCAAACAAATATACGCAAGGAAGTTATTTTAACTCACTTGATTTTCCTACGTAACTTGGCCCAACTTTGTTTCATTTTAAAATAGATCGAGCGTACATGCCCAACCCCAATCACGTTATGGTTAGGGTCAACAACAACATTGGGATCAAATGGAGCAGGCTGGCTCAGCAAGCTTTGGTAGGCCAAGCCCAATCTACACTGAAGTAAAAGGACCAGGAAAACGACATAGTTTTGGACTCTCAATTCAATTCGGCTTCGTCCCCCGGCCATGGACTTATCTGCTCAGAGTCTCAATTGAAAAATTGAAGCGGCTGCCGCGAGATGGCCGCACAACTCCTCCGCGCTCTGCCCAGTATAGCCTTCCGCTATAAACACTTCTCACTCAAACCACCTCCATTGCCTCTTCTATTCCTAAACTCGCACAGCCCCAGCTTCAAACCCACGCAACCTCCTAAACGCTGCATTTCAACTCCTTCTGTTTCTGCTTCGTCTCCTTCTCCTTCTTCAACTGAAACACCACTTGTTGCCGCTTCCCCTAAAGTATCTCGCTCCATCCCTTCTCTTGAATGGGTGAGCCGGACCGCTTTCTGCGGTGAATTGTCAGAAGCTGATGTGAATAAACGGGTCAGGCTCTGCGGCTGGGTTGCCCTTCATCGTGTTCATGGTGGCCTCACTTTCGTTAATCTCCGTGACCATACCGGTGTTGTACAGGTACTTATTTTTCATTTTCTTCTCTCTCTCTCTCCTTTTTTTTTTTTAAAAAAAATAATGAATTCTCAATCTTTCATTTCTTGAGCATGTAATAGTTCTTGACTGGCTATTGCTTTTATTTTTCCATTGTAATAAATATTTTTGAACATGATGACCATTAGTTTGTTTACTTAAGTCAGAAATTTAAGGCATTCTGCCTAGGAAACGTGGAAAATTTTGAACATTGATGGAATTTTATTTGAAGTAATCTGTCTGAAGTTACCAGTACTTACAGTCTACAATCCGTGTTTTGGTTTGTTTTCTTTGTTGAGAATGCTTGTTGATTTGCGATAAATGCTGCATGGGAAAGAGTAGCTATGAATATGCTATTTGATGAAATTGCGACAAAGAGTATCTTTGGGGCGAGTTGTTGAACTGGTCTTTACCTTTTGTGCTTTGGGAATTTCAGATTACGACCCTTCCCAACGAATTTCCTGATGCTCATTCAACAGTGAATGACTTAAGAGTTGAGTATGTGGTGGCCGTAGAAGGTGTTGTTCGGCCTCGCCCAATTGAGTCTGTCAACAAGAAGATGAGGACTGGTGCAGTAGAGGTGTGTTCTGCTTTAGCTTTAAATCTTTATGCATAGATGGATGCATTCTGCAATAATTACAGAAAAAGCAGCTGAAGGAAGTCACTGATGACATTCTCACTATAGTAAGTCTAGAAAATTTGAATTTGAGGTCTCCTTTGGCAGTTCACCTGTCTGTTTAGTCTCCATGAACTCTTTAAGAAACTGAGAATAACATGCCTATGGCTGAAAACAAGGCGTGGTGCTAGTTGTTATGAATTCAACCAGATCTATTGTGTCAAGGGTGTTTTGCATTGTGATTTGAAGGAAAACCTTTTTAGGCTTTTGTTCAAGCAGTCCCCCTGGCCCAATTTTTGAAGTGTTCAAGTGTTAAAATTAACAGGTGTAACAAGAACAATCCAAGGGCAATGTTTTATGTTTTCCCCCGCAAAAACCTTCCAAGTGTAATGATTAATATGGTTAAAATACGACCTTGTTTGAATTGCTATTCTATAAGTGTTATTAGAAGAAGATCACAGCTTAGGTGCATCAGAGAAAGAGAAAATCGAAGTCTGATGCTGGTGATTGACTAGGAGAGAAGGAAAGGTAATGAATTGTTGCTGATGTTATAATCATATGTTCATGGATGAGTTCTTTATCTCAGTGCTCCACAATTTACTTAGTTTCTGCAAAGTTGGTTGTGGAATTATGATGTGTAGTTGATTGTGGAAGACGAATTCTAATAACTGATGACCGCTGTTTTATTATTTCCTTAACTTGGATTTGCTCCTGGATGATTATTCTTTTTGGTGGTTTTAGTACAATTGCTTAAGTTTGCAGGTGGCTGCTGAGCGTGTCCATGTTCTGAATACTGTGAGATCTAAGCTGCCTTTCTTAGTTACTACTGCAGATGATGCCAAAGAATCTGTAAAGGAGGAAATTCGCTTGAGGTGAAAACTTTCTGAAGTTTTTTGACCATGGGCTTATGTTTTGCTTCTCTCTGCAGATTGCTGTTAGTTCTCTTGATAATTGATATTTTTACTTTTCTGGTCGAGTTGGGCATTTCTTAATGATTGAAGGTCTACTTTTGTTTCTGCTTCCTCTCGCTAATTTGTGGTATTGTGACTGGAGTGGGTAAACTGGAGTTTGCTTGGGTCATGGTTTGTTGTTCTAGTTGTTTCTGAGACACTTAACTGCTTAAGTAAAAGAATACTAGTGCTTGCCTCATTTACAAGAGAAGAAATAAAATTAGTAAGTAATATCACTATATGATGATAAGGGATTTTGGTGATGTTGATCTTTGAACCACATAGTTGAAGAGGTAGCATGGGTTATTTACCATCAATTCTCACATTTTGCATGTTCCATACCCTATGATGTGTGTTTTCTATTCAATGTAGTTTGTGGCTTTAAAGCATGCAATGCTTCAGAGGCCATAGTTTTTTCCATAGCCTAAAATATATTGATTGTTTACTGCTTGTAAGATCTTCGATGCATGTCTCTTAAACTGTACGGATTAAATGGTCCCCATACCTGTTACTAGATATCGATGCCTTGATTTGCGCCGGCCACAAATGACTTCCAACATTATATTGCGGCATCAAGTGGTAAAACTCATCCGAAGGTACCTTGAGGATGTACATGGTTTTGTGGAGGTAATGTTTGCATTTTAACATCTTAGTGCAATCAGAAGATTCTACTGGAGTCTGTCTCTTCCACTCTCTGATCCTTGCCTTCATGTTTGTAAGGCAGATTGAGACTCCAATTCTATCTAGATCTACCCCAGAAGGTGCTCGGGATTATCTTGTCCCTTCAAGAATTCAGGTACAGTATTTGCCCTGTTAAATGTACCTATCTCGGGATTATCTCTAATTTCTCCTCTTCACTCTTTTGGTGTTTTCCCTTGTTTTCTGTTGAAGTGAATTGAAAAACAAAATGTAATCTTGGTATTGATGTTGTCGTTTGTCCTGGTGATGACTTAGTGATTTTGAAAGAATTCCCATCCCATCAGGCTTCAATCTCGAATTCAAGCCAAATTGTGTTTTCTAAGCTACGCTTAATCTCCAGCCTTTTATGGCTACCTATGTTTTTAGCTTCTCAAATTTATACTCAGAGTTAAAATTTCATTGCATTTGAGCTGTTATTCCCCAAACTTTTTACCTTTGTTGTTGAGAACCCGCTCAAGGCAACTTGTAAGATAAGAAAAGGAGAACGCCATTTAATACAACTCGTGTAGATCTTTTGGAAGTGATGGAGGCTGAACAATTTCCATACAGCATTTGATACATCGAAACATCAAGGATGAAAAATATTTACTTGTTTTATTGGCTTTTTAACATCTAATTCTCTACGTTTCAAGTTTATGTTTTCCAGAGATATATCAGTCATCAAATAAAAATCTGATTGCTTAATTCCATCATTTAAAGCCAGGAACATTTTATGCCTTGCCCCAAAGTCCGCAGCTGTTCAAACAAATGTTGATGGTCTCTGGTTTTGATAAATACTATCAAATTGCAAGGTAATAAGTTTTAAGTTTACGACTATTTGATCAGACTGTTGATTTTCATTTAAATTCCCCTTTTCTCTTGCATCTTTACATTCTGCCACACATTGTTCAACTTATGTGAAGAGGATCTCCCCCCTTCCCCCCTCAGATTATTATGAGGAAAAAGGATTCTAGAGGGGGGATCAAGAAATTTTGCATTTATTGCTGGGTCATTTATTAGTATACAACCAAGACCACAATGTGACTTCATCTGCTCTTGCTTTGCAGGTGTTTCAGGGATGAAGATCTAAGGGCAGATAGACAACCTGAATTTACGCAACTAGATATGGAGATGGCTTTCACTCCCTTAGAGGACATGCTCAGACTTAATGAAGATTTGATTAGGAAGGTTGTCTTTTTTTTTTTTTTTGGGTGGTAGAAATAGTTTGATGAGGTAACAAATCACAAAATGAAATGAGGTGGGGATAAAAGCATTAGAATGATCCAGTGAGTTAAGATACGTTTCATTTAGCTGACCCCTCTCACTTCCTTGATCCTGCCAATTAGTTTGCTGTAGTTGATAGCCTAATAGATAGTAGAGCAATAATCTGATTTCACAATTTGTGAGTTCCTTCAGACCTTTGATAAAATCCTCTATTGAAGTGAGATATATTTTCTGCACATAAAATTCTGTAAAACATGTCCTGAAATTTTCATTAAAAGAAGCTGTTCTTCCATAGCAATATTATAACTAAATTTACGTACATTGTGGGGCTCTAAACTGTTGATTTGAATTTTTAATACCTTCCAGAAATTCTGAATCGAATGTTATTTTCGACCAGAGCCTATATGATGGTTGAATCCTGTTTTTCAACTGATTGGTTAGTATTTGAATTTGATGACCTAGGTTTCGCACCTCCTGGTAGATTTTTGTATGATCTTTTACTTTCCAATTTTAGTAACATTCTCCTGTGTTATGGGCTGGGTGTGGGAATTGAACTGTAATAGCATTAATCTTGTTAAAACTTGTATAACATTTTGCTGTATAGAAGCTAAACATCATCAGCTGTGCACATGCTTGGCCTATATGTGGTGCCGAAAATAATTATTACTTCTGAGTAAACATGACAATCTTTTGCATTATCTGACTAAATATCTTTTAGAAGATTGAAACAAATTATACGTATGTTTTAGTGTAAATTTTACCTCGTCATGCTTGTAGTCTATCATATGATTCCTTTTGGTATCAGCAAATAATATATATATATATATATGTAGGTTTGTTCCGAAATAGTTGTTTGTTCTAATAAGCTTGATTTTTTCCCCTGAAGTTTAAAGCTGGATGCTGTCCAATTTTTCCTTTTGTAGCATGGAGTTAGGGTCTAGCGAGGCATGGGTTACATGGGTAGATGAGGGCTCTGATGGCCCAATTTAGATGTTTAATACAACTCTTAATTCTGTATTGATATTACTTTTGCTGTTACTTCTGATATTCAACTGGTAAGTTGACGGGGCATGATAAATATTTTCCTGCAGGTTTTCCTTGAGATCAAAGGTGTCCAGCTACCTGACCCTTTCCCAAGGCTCACTTATGCTGAAGCCATGAGCCAATACGGTTCAGATAGGCCAGATACTCGTTTTGATCTTGGATTGAAAGATGTAAAGCTTGTTGGTTTTCATGCATTATTTGTTTTTATTCTTTATCTCTTTCAATTTTCTCAACTGAGAGCTGCCAATGCAGTCTATAGCCCCTTCTTCAGTTTGTCCCAAGAAAAATAGTTTCTTTTCCCTTTTTTTTTTTTTTTTTTGGGAGGGGGGGGGGGGAGACAGGTTGTCATTCTTTTGGTACCATAGATGATACTATATTATGAAATCTTAAATCTATTTTTTGTTTTTTGGAGTGATTACCTAATGGTCTTGGCTTGCAGGTATCTGAGATATTTTCAGATTCCTCCTTCAAGGCATTTGCAGATACCTTGAAGAGTGGGGGAATTGTTAAAGCCTTGTGTGTCCCTTCAGGAGGAAAGACATACTCAAATACTGCTTTGAAGAAAGGTGATATTTACAATGAAGCTATTAAATCTGGAGCAAAGGGTTTGCCTTTCTTAAAGGTGTTAGAAGATGGTGAGAGTGATGTTTGTGATTGTTTGCACATTTCATCGCATTTTGCAGATTATATTGTTCTTAGTGCTTGATGTATATCTTTTAGGGGCAATTGAAGGGATTTCCCCACTGGTATCATGCTTGGACCACACAAAGAAAGACAAGTTACTCAAACACTTATCTGCGGGATCAGGTGATCTCATCTTGTTTGCAGTGGGTCAGCCTGCATCAGTAAATAAAACTTTAGATAGGCTGAGGTTGTATGTAGCCCATGATTTGGGCTTGATTGATCCTGTAAGTTTACTGCTTAAAGCTTTTAATTTCATGCAATATACTATTGGATTTAAAAGAAAAAGGAAAGGAAACTTGGATTAATTATTTTTACACATCTCACTTTGTCTATTTGGTGTCATTTAGTCCAGGCCCTCAATCTTATACAATATATAAGAAGAGGGCATTGACAGCCAGTGTAAATATTTTCTACAATTTTTTTTCGAACTTTCAATTTTATTCTTAGAAAATTAATTTTTTACCCTAAGTCACGTGATCACATTTACCAACATAATCACTCTAAATATTGCAATTACCAAATTATCTATTTTTAATTGAAGAAAAAATTAATTATAAATTGAAGTTTGTTAATGAAAAGTTCTTATAAAATTTATTAATGAAACAATAAAATTTACAAATTCATAAAAAATAATAATGATTTCTAAATTGCACACAAAGTAAGTGTGCTTTTTAACACTAATATCAATTATTTAAGATTGGATCGCACACACATATATATATAAATATATGCACGCATAGAGGGGGAGATAAAGAATACTCCCTACTTAAAAATCACTGAAAGACAAAAACAAAAAAAGAGACATCAGTCAACACAATAAAATAAAACACTGCAAGAGCCTAATTTATAGTAATTCATAAGGAACGAACGCTAACAACACTGTGAAAAATCGTCAATAAACTAAACAGTAAAAAAAAACTGCTGAAAGCCATGCATATATTAAACTTATCCTGACTTTGCCAACCACAGATCTTCAAACCTGCAGAGAATTTCCGAAGTCATCAGAACCATAAGGAACGATGGAGTTGTTGCAGTATTCAGTCGTCGTCTGATTGAAGAACATATCATCACAACCAACTGCAGTCACGCCGGGATTGATATCACCGCTATTATTTAAGCCCAAATTAGTTGAAGAAGAAGAAGAATTTTTCAACAACATCAAGTCATCGGCTCTCATCAACAGCTTTTTCTTCAACTCTTCCAATGAAGCTTTATACTGTTGAAGGTCCTCCAAACCCATATGCTCAATTGGGTCATCCCACCAAAAACTCCCACCGTTCTCTAACTTCGAACCTTCAATCAATTCCTTTCTTTTTCTCTCGACCTCTAATTCTTTGGACACTTTAGCATAGTGTCGGTTGTGTTGTTGAATCTCATGAGCACCCAGTGGGATTTTCGGATCAGCAACGGATGACGAGGAGGATGATGATGATGATGATGATGCCGATCCCGTGGTATAGCGGTTAATAACAGCGTCAATGTTGGGGTGACCAAAAGCAAAGACGCGCTTGCCCAAAGAATGAACGATGATGGCAACTTCTGCCCCGGTCAAGACGCAAAGTTCACTTGCTTTCTTGAAGAGACCGACTCTTCGCTTGGAGAAGGTTACTTGCCTGTTGCTCAAGTTGTCTATCTTCTTGATCTCGATTTTTTTTCGACCTTGGGTCGTCTTCTTCTTCATCATCATGTTGTTCATTTTCGCCTTTTTTTTTTTTTTGTCTTTTGGTGGGATTTTGATGAATTAAGGGCTAGCTACATTGCTTTGGCATCCCATCCTATTATTATATAAGGTTCCACCTTCCTTAATATTTACCCGTAATTTTGTTTCCTAAAAACGTCAAAGATTTTATTGTGATTCGGTCGATATATTTTCTCCAGTTTCCATTGTTTCACCCTCCTAATTTCCCCTTGATTGATGGATTAAACTTAGAAATGGATGATTTATGTAGAGTAACATCTCTATCTTTTTCTCTCTTTTTTTTCGACAAAATATAAATTAGTGTTAACTCCTCATTGATTGATGGATTAAACTTAGAAATGGACAATTTGTCTAGAATTAACAGCTATTTTCTTCTTTTCCTGGCAAAACATAATTTACTCTCTCACACTGACCAAGAAAATGGCATTGTTGAGAACTATCGATCTAATCATTTCATCAAAATTACAAAAAAAAACAAACGATCAAATTGTTATTTAATGGCATGTGTAGTTAGTTTAAGTAGTTAATGGTTTATTATCTTTTAGCAAAGCGATATACATATTGTTTGGATGAATTCATGCATCAACATATAGAAACATATATACTTCCAAAAATCTAATTATTTCTTCTTCTTTTTTTGGCTAAGTATTTTCTTGCCTAGGTTAAAATTAGAAAAATTTATTTCCTCAGCTTGGTGACAACTAAAGTGTCTCCAAAATGTTCTCAATTCAACTTCGTTAAATAGATCAATAAAAATGAAACTACTTTTCCAATTATTTCCTTAATCTGTGGGCGGTAATCGAGTATGATTTACATGTATTAAGTATATAGGACTCTTAGTAAACAATTTTTCCAATTATTTCCTTAATCCGTGCCAGGCAAGTGCGATGTAGCTCGGACTCTAGGAATGGAGCTTGTTAAATTCCACTTTCACCCCTCATCCGCTCAAATTGAATGGAAAAAATCAACTCAACTACTTTTTGTGCATTGTATAAGTTGCCTCACCTAATTACGTCCAGGAATTGAACCACAGTGAAGTTATTCTCTACGTTCCGTTTTGTTATTATTATTATTTTTGGGGGTGAATGAATGGGGCAGGCTTTGAAACAATTTAAGCAATGACACTTTTGTTTGGGTGGTTTGGTTCCTATAGAATTGAGGCATAGAATTGGAATTGGAAGCCTTATTTCTAATTCTTTTGTTTGGCTTCTAACTTTCCCAAATAATTAGAATTGAATTTCAATTCTACGGGGCTTGAATTCAATGACACTTTATATTGTCATTGTTGCAATATTTTCTATTTATATTGTCATTGTTGGTTGTAATTTTTGCTGAATGTCTCAGCTGGTTTTGGGGCTTTGGCTGGTATTTTGCCAAAAAAAAGGAAGTAATTTGCTTTTTTCTTTAAAGCTTTAGTAACAATTAGCTAAATGCACGAAAAAATAAATTATTAAAGGCATAAATTGATTTTTTCCTTTAAATTTTTAGTAAAAATTAGCTAAATGTAAGAAAAAAATTATTATATAAAAATAAAATAAAAATTTTATGTAAGCAAATATTTCATGAAAATAATTCTAATTCCTAATGAATTCTTCTCTCACGCAAATAAAGAATTTGAAATTCCATACCAATTCTATGCATTTTCCAAACGAAAGAATTGCAATGACTTGGAATTCCAATTTTATAGAATTCGAATTCTAATTCAATTTCAATTCTATAGTACCAAACGCACCCTTTATGAGATTAAACTATTTACAGTAGATTGATGGAGGAATCATCAGAGAAGAGCAATGACCTAATTATTGACAGTTTAGACTAGCGAGGCACTAGCTTGATGCACCAAAGTCAAATCGGAAAAACGAGATAAGTTTATACCGAATAGGCTTCAAAATCCTCCATTATCATATCCAAAGTTGAAGATATTAGGATGGACCGAACCCACGCTGACCCCGGTTGGTTTGCTCTCATATTGATGATACAATCCCGCAGCAGCACCATTGTTTAGTGTAAAAAATGAAGAATTGTTGTAATTAGCCTCAGCCGCCACCTTGCTAGCATGACTCGTCACACTGTTTTTCATGTTTTCCAGTGAATCTCTTAGTTGTTCAAGTTCGTGTAATCCAAGTTCATTAACAGGGGATTCCCACCAATAATGATTTTGGCTGGCTTTTCTCATGAGATCAAATGCCTCGCCTCTTTTCTTCTCAATTTCTAATTCACTGAGAATTTGAGTGAGCTGCAAGTTGAGCTCCTGGACACTACTGGCATTCCTGTGAGCCCCAACGAGGTGGAGTGCACTCGAGTTTGGCTGAGGATTTCTGCATCGCGCAATGAATTTATCGATTATGTAATCGACACTAGGATGGCCAAAAGAAAATACTTTTCCCGCTGGGGAAAAAACTATAATGGCTAATTCAACGCCACAGAGAGTGCTGAGTTCGTGCGCCTTCTTATAGGGTCCCGAACGGCGTTTTGAGAATGTAACTTGGAGATGATTCTTGGTCTCAATTTTTGCAATTTTGATCTTTTGGCGACCCATGCTAGGTTTCTTTGCCATGATCTTCTTCTGAATACAAGAGGGAGAGAGGTTTTTTAGGTTAGGTTTGGTGGTTCTATGAAGAGTTATGGATAAAGTGGAGAAGCAACAATTTAAAGGGCCTCAAGTTTACTCTTGAATCTGGATAGATTGATTGTAATTTGTGCTAGCTAGTATATGTAATCATTAGGCATAATTACCCTTGATTTGGGAGTTTAAAAAAATCTTAGATCTTAATGCTATGATGGTGTGACATAAATCTTCTCTTAGTTGGCATTACAAGGTGAAGTATCAGTTATTATTGCAAGCCAAAGTCAACTCATATATATGTGTTTCTCTACTCATTTTGGGTATGAATTGATGATCAATTGGCACTCACACTCACTCTGTAGGCATTTGTTAGAGCACAGAAAGTGCTTTTGGCACGTTACTTATGTCTTCATAAAGAGCCGAAAGATGGAAGAGCATTTATAGAGGAGCAAAATGCTGTGTATAACTGTTTTCACCATAAAACGCTAGTAGTAATTAGGATTAAGACATAAAGAAAAGAAAAGAGACATCCTTATCAGTGTGCTATCCCAAGTACTGATTTTCAGAATACAAAATCTAAAAAAAAAAAAAAAACCAGATGTCCTTATTAGAGTGCATTAAAACCAACCACGTCACAGTTGTACACATTTCAACTTAATTATCAAAACTCTCATCCTAGGAAAGTATTTCAAAAATGCCACTTTCAAACCACAATTGAGCCATCTCAGTCGAGCCCCAAAAAAAATCCAAATCCAGGCAAGCTAATTGGCACAGAAGCAGCATTTGATTTCAATTGAGCACCAAAAATTACTTGCCCATTTTCTGCTTGGGTCTGGAAGCACAATAATGGCCTACTGTTTCAGTACTTTATCTCCATTTATCTGTGATCTTCCAGAGTATTGAATGAGATAAGAGCAATAATCATTCCCAAAATTAAATTGGGATAACAATCATGAAAGCATTTATCTAGATGCTGAGAACATCTTCATAAATGCAAGAATTCATGTAGAAGAGAAGATTGTGAGCACAAATACATCATGATGTCATGGATTTGTTACATAATACTTTGCCTTATAGGCCAGTTGAACATGAAAACTCCTGCTTTACAACAATATACATTCTAGTTTCATCAAGGTAATACAATAATGACAAATAGAAAGCAAACTTTGGATATGCATCTGCAGAAGAATGACCAAGAGGTGGTGAAAAAGAGTGTTGAAGTTTAAGCACACAAATAGACTTGGAACATCTAGTTTAGATAGATTGGTATCCAAAGTGGTCTAATATAACTCAAGCTCATGATTAGCAATTATCAGGAAGTTTCAAATGCCGGCAGTAACAGAACGGTTTCAAGAGAACTGCTGGCAAAAAGTGTAGCAGAGTCATCAGAAGTTCTCAAAATGCGCTATTATGTAGTACAACTTCTGGATAGGGGAGGTACCGGGGGCAGTGGAAGGTTAATTTTATGGTAGTGAAAGCAATCACCTACACTGTGTGGTGACCTACCACATCAGCCTTAAGACATTACAGGAAAGAAAGTAAACTAGCTGAAAAATTGTTCAGAGGCTGAAGCAGTCCGACCATTGTAATATTGTTACCTTAACTCTTCCAGAGAGCTGGATGGTTGAAGTGGAGAATATAATGATTTCAAAACATCAGGTTGAGAATCCAATGCACTGTACTGGTGTACATAACCTGCAGCACAGAAATGTTTATTAAACACTGATGGCACAAGAACCATTGTGGAGCTACTTGTGCTGGCCATTGCAGCATTCATAGTCCAAAACATTACAATGCTTACATATGACTAAAAATTGGAAGCCTGCAGAAAGAAAAATTATAACTGATAGCAAATCAGCTATAGTTGAACCTTATATACTGGACTAGTTAGTGTAGTGCTTGATAGGCAAAAGTAATAAAGTTTTAAGCAAGATGAAGTTGCTATTATATGATAGAATGCATGTCAGTGCAGTCATCAACAAGATCCTAACAAAAGCATCTCGATTTAATTGCCAAAAAAATGTGGAATTTTTAATGACTACATATAACAATTAGCCAGTCAAAACTCACCAATATAGACACTCATGAAGAACGCAGCACAAATTATCTCAGCTAGCATAATAATCCTGCACATTTAATGCTAAGTGATTAAATAGTCAGAAATGAACAGTTTCCCTTGGCAGCAATCATGGATTCCTAGATGCTACATATGCTTCTTGCATTTGGCAAAAGTAACTTTTCACATAAAAAAAAGTGCTTAACATATGCATGTTTGTTTCTTCCAGACAGATTGAAAAAAGAGAGTTTACATTAGTCCAGATGAACCTAGTGAACTTGAGTATGTATTCAAAGAACTAATAGCATACCTAAGTATTGTTGATATGGACAGAAAGCGTATATAAATTTCCCAGACATGGATAAGCAGCATAGCTGCAGTTCCTGCAGTGCATATATCATAGAGATATCTCATTGAAAGCCAAAAAGGTGCTGACTACATTTCAGTATTTCTGTGAAGAATACGAGCAAGGTATTACAAGAGATAAATGGAGGAACATTCAATAAAAGAAGGTTGATCATCATGCAGTAAACAAGGAACTTAAAGAAAAAGAATAATAATTTAAAATGAAAAAGAAAAAGTAGTAATTTAGTAAGATTTCCAGTAATATTTGGATGGAAGACTGGTCAAAAGGCAAAGATGACCTACTTAAGGACTAAAAAATGCTAGGTGAAGATTGAATTCTGAAAATGTCTTCAAACAAAAAGCAAAGAACTGCGTCCAAATGCGAGATAAACACTAGACTATATAGAATGGGACAAACTAATTTGATGTCAAAATGGAGTAAATATTTACTATGATTTCTTCATATTTAGAAATTCTTCAGGTTACAACATCATAGGGCATGAAAATGCAGATACAAACGTACCACATGCTATAACAGCAAAAGGTAGGCGAATAATGTGCTTCAACTTTTGGCTGAAAACGTAGTAACCCTACAAAACACATGCATGCCTTGAATCTAAGCTTCAAAAGCTACAAATTTTAAGCTGGGATAAAATAACAGCAACCAAGAGATCAAGAAAAATACTCATAAACTTGCTAAGTAAAATAACAGCACACATAAATTAGTTCAAGAACATAACTATTACGAACACATGTGCACTCAGAATGTCCTAATGTCCCCATGATTCCACCAATCTCCTCACATCTCGCCTTGTGTGTTGTCTTATACCTAATTCTTTAGTCAATTTATTAGCTCCTCTCTTAGCTTAGACTTCACAAATCCCAAAATTCAATCAAAACTTTGGCTTCCAAATTATTTATGCAGTTGACAATGATGGTTAAGGTTTCCTTCTGAAGTTCTACCTTTAGTTCAAAGAATTATTTACATCTTCCCAAAGTTGGAAGAAAAGAAACATACATACACAAAAGAAAACAAATTAGTACCAAGATGGACTTGAAATCAATTGATAAATAGAAAGGATTATACACATACATACCCCAAATGCATATGAACTCATGTTTATGTATGTGCTTCTGTGTGTGTATGTGTGTCTGTGCGTGTGTGTGAGTGTGTGTATGAGAGAGAGAGAGAACCTGTAACCGTATTTTCTGCACTTGATAGACAAGGTATTGCTGAAATAAACCTGGAAAACACAGTAACAATGATAAACTACAGATCAGGAAGTATTTGAAAAGAAAACTCAAAAAAACTGAGATGAATTATATGACATCTAAATCAAATGAAACTTGAAAGATGAAGCCTGCAAAAAGCAAAGTTAAAATCACCGCCAACTTCCAGGGCAGTTAAGTCATCACATCGAAGAATACATCAAAAAAGGGTAAAGAAGACCAAGCATGTACCTGTGATTACCAAAAGAATGACATCAGAACTACAGAGCAAAGGTGAAATCAGTTCCGGTTGAGGGTGAAAAAACCATGTAGCTCCAGCAGCAATAATAGCATAACCTGCCTAAAATTCAAGAAAATCAGCAGTTCTTGGTACAAACTGAAAATGTAGTAATTAACTTAGTTGACTCCGAAGCAGATAATAGCTACCACTTGCCAGCAAAATACAGTAGAATATACTCCCCAAAATGCTAGTAGGCTTCCGGTGACCAAATAAAGGAGCCTCATGCAGAATGTCAAGGAACCTATGGCAAAATGATTCGCAATAATCCATCACAAATACAGCCAAAACTTTAACATGATGCTTATACATGACAAAAGAAATGTAATCAAACAGAATGTACACTTCCTCGAGCATAGGAATATATAAATAAAGAAAGAACAGTCCAGTTTTATACAACAGCTTAAACAGTTAAGCACGACACCAAAGAGTTAACTTGCTGCACTACTGCTTGGAGATGCTAAGAACAGAATTCTGATTTCCTCATGTTAATATATTAAATGCATGTTCATGAAGGTGGAAATTTTTTTATTGGAAACGTAAGAATTCTCGGACTCTTTTGAGCAATTTAAATATGAAATTCCAGCAATTCTGAAGACCTTATTTGTGCAATGTTTTGTAAAACAAATGACTGAAATTGGGCAGCAGCAAACTAAGCCTAAGCACGGCTAAGCAAAGCAACAATCATTTTTGTTTATTCTAGATATCATTTGGTCCTCCTATCACTTCAGTTAGCATCTGAGGCTCTGAGTTTGATTTAATTCTCGCATAATACGACCTAAACCTAAAATTACAGGACCATAAAGTTTCAAATTCACTTGCTTTGTACTTTATTAGGAGAGTACCAGCAGCAAAAACAATAAAACTTATAACAAAGAAAAAGGAAATAATCCTAGATTAATTATTCTCCCAAGATATTTATTTCTCAAAAAGAATCATTATGTAAACTATCTTAACTATATTATGTAAACTTGTTTTTATTCTTTATCTCTTTCAATTTTCTCAACTGAGAGCTGCCAATGCAGTCTATAGCCCCTTCTTCAGTTTGTCCCAAGAAAAATAGTTTCTTTTCCCTTTTTCTTTTTTTTTTTTGGGAGAGGGGGGGGGGGGGGAGACAGGTTGTCATTCTTTTGGTACCATAGATGATACTATATTATGAAATCTTAAATCTATTTTTTGTTTTTTGGAGTGATTACCTAATGGTCTTGGCTTGCAGGTATCTGAGATATTTTCAAATTCCTCCTTCAAGGCATTTGCAGATACCTTGAAGAGTGGGGGAATTGTTAAAGCCTTGTGTGTCCCTTCAGGAGGAAAGACATACTCAAATACTGCTTTGAAGAAAGGTGATATTTACAATGAAGCTATTAAATCTGGAGCAAAGGGTTTGCCTTTCTTAAAGGTGTTAGAAGATGGTGAGAGTGATGTTTGTGATTGTTTGCACATTTCATCGCATTTTGCAGATTATATTGTTCTTAGTGCTTGATGTATATCTTTTAGGGGCAATTGAAGGGATTTCCCCACTGGTATCATGCTTGGACCACACAAAGAAAGACAAGTTACTCAAACACTTATCTGCGGGATCAGGTGATCTCACCTTGTTTGCAGTGGGTCAGCCTGCATCAGTAAATAAAACTTTAGATAGGCCGAGGTTGTATGTAGCCCATGATTTGGGCTTGATTGATCCTGTAAGTTTACTGCTTAAAGCTTTTAATTTCATGCAATATACTATTGGATTTAAAAGAAAAAGGAAAGGAAACTTGGATTAATTATTTTTACACATCTCACTTTGTCTGTTTGGTGTCATTTAGTCCAGGCCCTCAATCTTATACAATATATAAGAAGAGGGCATTGACAGCCCGTGTAAATATTTTCTACAATTTTTTTTCGAACTTTCAATTTTATTCTTAGAAAATTAATTTTTTACCCTAAGTCACGTGATCACATTTACCAACATAATCACTCTAAATATTGCAATTACCAAATTATCTATTTTTAATTGAAGAAAAAATTAATTATAAATTGAAGTTTGCTAATGAAAAGTTCTTATAAAATTTATTAATGAAACAATAAAATTTACAAATTCATAAAAAATAATAATGATTTCTAAATTGCACACACAGTGAGTGTGCTTTTTAACACTAATATCAATTATTTAAGATTGGATCGCACACACATATATATATAAATATATGCACGCATAGAGGGGGAGATAAAGAATACTCCCTACTTAAAAATCACTGAAAGACAAAAACAAAAAAAGAGACATCAGTCAACACAATAAAATAAAACACTGCAAGAGCCTAATTTATAGTAATTCATAAGGAACGAACGCTAACAACACTGTGAAAAACCATCAATAAACTAAACAGTAAAAAAAAACTGCTGAAAGCCATGCATATATTAAACTTATCCTGACTTTGCCAACCACAGATCTTCAAACCTGCAGAGAATTTCCGAAGTCATCAGAACCATAAGGAACGATGGAGTTGTTGCAGTATTCAGTCGTCGTCTGATTGAAGAACATATCATCACAACCAACTGCAGTCACGCCGGGATTGATATCACCGCTATTATTTAAGCCCAAATTAGTTGAAGAAGAAGAAGAATTTTTCAACAATATCAAGTCATCGGCTCTCATCAACAGCTTTTTCTTCAACTCTTCCAATGAAGCTTTATACTGTTGAAGGTCCTCCAAACCCATATGCTCAATTGGGTCATCCCACCAAAAACTCCCACCGTTCTCTAACTTCGAACCTTCAATCAATTCCTTTCTTTTTCTCTCGACCTCTAATTCTTTGGACACTTTAGCATAGTGTCGGTTGTGTTGTTGAATCTCATGAGCACCCAATGGGGTTTTCGGATCAGCAACGGATGACGAGGAGGATGATGATGATGATGATGATGCCGATCCCGTGGTATAGCGGTTAATAACAGCGTCAATGTTGGGGTGACCAAAAGCAAAGACGCGCTTGCCCAAAGAATGAACGATGATGGCAACTTCTGCCCCGGTCAAGACGCAAAGTTCACTTGCTTTCTTGAAGAGACCGACTCTTCGCTTGGAGAAGGTTACTTGCCTGTTGCTCAAGTTATCTATCTTCTTGATCTCGATTTTTTTTCGACCTTGGGTCGTCTTCTTCTTCATCATCATGTTGTTCATTTTCGCCTTTTTTTTTTTTTTGTCTTTTGGTGGGATTTTGATGAATTAAGGGCTAGCTACATTGCTTTGGCATCCCATCCTATTATTATATAAGGTTCCACCTTTCTTAATATTTACCCGTAATTTTGTTTCCTAAAAACGTCAAAGATTTTATTGTGATTCGGTCGATATATTTTCTCCAGTTTCCATTGTTTCACCCTCCTAATTTCCCCTTGATTGATGGATTAAACTTAGAAATGGATGATTTATGTAGAGTAACATCTCTATCTTTTTCTCTCTTTTTTTTCGACAAAATATAAATTAGTGTTAACTCCTCATTGATTGATGGATTAAACTTAGAAATGGACAATTTGTCTAGAATTAACAGCTATTTTCTTCTTTTCCTGGCAAAACATAATTTACTCTCTCACACTGACCAAGAAAATGGCATTGTTGAGAACTATCGATCTAATCATTTCATCAAAATTACAAAAAAAAACAAACGATCAAATTGTTATTTAATGGCATGTGTAGTTAGTTTAAGTAGTTAATGGTTTATTATCTTTTAGCAAAGCGATATACATATTGTTTGGATGAATTCATGCATCAACATATAGAAACATATATACTTCCAAAAATCTAATTATTTCTTCTTCTTTTTTTGGCTAAGTATTTTCTTGCCTAGGTTAAAATTAGAAAAATTTATTTCCTCAGCTTGGTGACAACTAAAGTGTCTCCAAAATGTTCTCAATTCAACTTCGTTAAATAGATCAATAAAAAGGAAACTACTTTTCCAATTATTTCCTTAATCCGTGGGCGGTAATCGAGTATGATTTACATGTATTTAGTATATAGGACTCTTAGTAAACAATTTTTCCAATTATTTCCTTAATCCGTGCCAGGCAAGTGCGATGTAGCTCGGACTCTAGGAATGGAGCTTGTTAAATTCCACTTTCACCCCTCATCCGCTCAAATTGAATGGAAAAAATCAACTCAACTACTTTTTGTGCATTGTATAAGTTGCCTCACCTAATTACGTCCAGGAATTGAACCACAGTGAAGTTATTCTCTACGTTCCGTTTTGTTATTATTATTTTTTTTGGGGGTGAAATGAATGGGGCAGGCTTTGAAACAATTTAAGCAATGACACTTTTGTTTGGGAGGTTTGGTTCCTATAGAATTGAGGCATAGAATTGGAATTGGAAGCCTCAATTCTAATTCTTTTGTTTGGCTTCTAACTTTCCCAAATAATTAGAATTAAATTTCAATTCTACGGGGCTTGAATTCAATGACACTTTATATTGTCATTGTTGCAATATTTTCTATTTATATTGTCATTGTTGGTTGTAATTTTTGCTGAATGTCTCAGCTGGTTTTGGGGCTTTGGCTGGTATTTTGCCAAAAAAAAGGAAGTAATTTGCTTTTTTCTTTAAAACTTTAGTAACAATTAGCTAAATGCACGAAAAAATAAATTATTAAAGGCATAAATTGATTTTTTCCTTTAAATTTTTAGTAAAAATTAGCTAGATGTAAGAAAAAAATTATTATATAAAAATAAAATAAAAATTTTATGTAAGCAAATGTTTCATGAAAATAATTCTAATTATTGATTTGTCTTTTTCACTACAGAAATGTCCAAACTTATTGACACACTAACTTAAGCCACTGCTCAGTTCTCTTCATATTTCGCATGTCAAAATTTGATTATAGTTTAAAAAGTCTGAAAATTATATAATGAGTCGCAATTTCATGAGCACTAAACCATTATACAGAAAGCCTAACCTCGTGGCTTCATTGAGAAAAATTGCAAGTTTTCTTCTCTATCATTCTTCCTTCCTTTTCACTTTATTGCCCTCTCTTTGTTAGATATATCCCATTCACGAATAAAAGCCAATGTCATACTGTGTGAGTGAGAAATAAGAGCAACTGAAAACTGGACAAAAAGCAGGTCATGTGAGGTTTTTCTCTCATGGATATGGCTGCTCAAAGGATGGCTAGCTAGAGATCTACCATGTGGTCTTACTAGTTAAACCATTCTGCGAAGATTTCCTTTTATATGCTTGATTCCCTGGACAGAGAAATGCTCCAATCTTAACTTGTTAATCTGTGATCTCGGAGAATGCTTCTATGAAGCTTTTATATTGTTCTTTCTGATGCTTGACAAACAGTTTAATATTCTGAATGGAGACCGTTTAGCTTTGGTTGATTATTGAGTGAAAACTGCTTTAGTTGATTAGTGCTTCTCTAGGGAGTCCAAGCTCTCAATCACACAATGTATCTTGTTTTGCTGGGGACTACATTTTACATGGGTTAGGGTCTATGATGCATTAATAAATGGATATTGTACTTTGTAATGGAAAATTACGTCAACCTACTGAGGGCTTTATCTGTATATCCTATTAATTTTTTGTCCCACATGTTTGGCCTATTACAATGATATACCTTCCACGCATGAGGAGAGAGAGTATTATTTAATTCCTCTACTCACATGTTCAGCTTTTGCTGGTGGTTCTCCAATGGATTGTTGGTTATGAAGATCTAGATGTGTTACAACTTGATTCTGCAATAGAGAACACTAAAATCACTGGACAAATTGCTCCCCATTTTTGGCAGCATTCAGGTTCTTTACTAGATTTTCTAAACTGTAAAATTGTCTGTTTCTTAGGTGATTTACCTAATATATCATAAGAGGAGAAAGTAAGATAGAGTTCATACTCAAAGTTGGTACCCAGAAAGCTACCGGATCAATTATTTTTTCCCCTGCCTCTTGCTCTGATTAAATGCTGAGAGATTGTGCATTATCTTGTTGTGTACTTGTGTCTGCACAATGCTCAAAACTTCAGAATATATTTACCGACAAAAAGTATATATTTAGTGTTGCTTCCATCTTTTCTTACAAGAATGCTTAGAGATACTGAATGCAGTGATACAGTATATTTTTTATCCCTTTGGAGCATAATTTTGTTAGGTGCAAGACATTGGTTATACTAGATTATCTGTGCCTTTGCATTTATTTTCCAAGTTGTTTAGCTGTGAACTCAAATTATCTTTTCAATGGATCTCCTGCAGGGCCACTTGCACAGTATAGGAGTCTTGTTAAGTAAGGGAAGCTGCAGCATGATCCTTACCAGGAAGAGGTTGCTTTTAAACTGGAAAATCTGCTTGGGAGAATGGAGCAATATGAGAAAGATATGGAGGAGTACCATGTAGGCCACAACAGTTTATAGTGGTTAAATAATACTGAAACGCTGTTCCTGGCCTTATGTTATTCCTCATATTCATAGGAAAAGCTTACCAAATGGGAGCAGAAGAGGGAAAACGAACGGCGCAGGCTTTTGATGCAGGAAGCTGAGACCAAACAAGAGGGGGGTGGTATGACATCAATAAGCAAGCAGCGAAATCTTTTCCAAAGATGGATGTCCCGGTAAGGCTATCAATTTTCCCTTGATTTTGTAGCAATACTGAAACTGGATATTTCAATGAATTATACGTTGGTTCATAAAAATCTGAATAGGATTTCCTGTCATTGAACCAGTTGCGAATTCTGTAAAGTTCAGCATGAGGTCCAATTCCTGTATTTTGCTCCCTTCATCAGTCAAAAGAAATATATTTTTTCCCTGCTAGTGATATTTGTCTTCATTCAGGAAGAAACATGAAATTGTAGAGCCAGGAGTAGGGAAATGGGTCTCATATCTTAATCGAGAGAAGAAATTAGATTCACTGGTTGGTCGTCGTCCCACTGCTCCTCCAGCCCCCAGAGGATTGTATCTTTATGGGAACGTTGGAAGTGGTTCGTTCCTGCATCTTGATTATCTGCACTTCCTTGCCAATGCACATTTCTGCACTTAAGATTTCTAGTATGTTACTACATTAAGGCACTAAAAGGATTCAATGATTTCACTTATCTTTTATAAAGTAGACATGCAATCTAACATGAATAGCATGTTAATACACAGCATCTCTCTCTATTAATATTATTCTGGTTGTGGTTTTACTTTTTCACATACCAATTTGAAGAAATTTTTGCATCATTTAGGTAAGACAATGCTTATGGATATGTTTTATGGTGCGACTGAAGGAGTTGTAAAACACCAAAGAAGATTTCACTTTCATGAGGTGACTGCATACTGGTACAGAGTGTGGTGTAATTTCACTATGCCATCTTCTGAATTTTATTATGTGAATTATTTTCCTAAGCAGCTGTTATGCAATTCTACTTGGAAAAATTTAAGTTACAAGTTCTTATTACTTTCTGTTCATTTGCCAGTCTCCACTTTGCTAGCTTTTATTTGGTTCATCATATCTTGTTTCTTCTTGGTTTCTCCTTGTCAATGTTGGATGGGCATATGTAAGCCCTGCTATATCTTCTTTGACTTCTGGCATGTCTTTCTTTTGACTGTAAGGCATTTGGTGAGAGAACCCTAGGCATTCCATAAGATGATAAACCACAAACAAAAGACTTGTAGAGTTTAAGGCAAATGAGATTAAAATGGAGCATATATTGCATTTATTCTAATTATAGCTTCTTTTTGCTTGATGCTTCCTATCAAAGGTATAACAAACTCTCATGGATTCCATATTGAAAGTTCTGTAGTAGGTCTAGTCGTTGCTCTATCCTTGTTTTTCTTGGTAAGAAGCTTAAAACTGATTGATGGACGTAAACAAGACTTTCTGGGTAGGTAGTGCAAGAAGGCAGCAGTTAAAAAGTTGATAACTACTTCTGCAAAAGCAGAAGAAGAATGAATCAAACTTTCAGAATTAGCACATCATGAAGTTGGTACAGGAGGATAGAATCACAGAACTATAGGGAAATATTTAACGTGCCACAGTAGTCAGTGACACCACATTTGCTTTACCTATAATGTTTCTCTACAAACCCATCATGTGTAGATATCAACATTAACAGATGGAGGAGTAGGTTTTATATTAAGACCACTCTGTACCAACTAATGCTTTGGCAAATCAAAAGTACTCACTCCTCATCTGGCTTGAGGAATGTTGACCAACAGGAAGCATGCAGAACACAAATAAAGACACACACACACACACACAATATAAGTTGGTTTGGGCTTAACTTGCTTCAAACCTTAATTTTTGCGGATTTTCATTTTTGTTTCCATAATTATTTTTTTATTGCTCTTTAAAAATGTCTTTTCTCGACAGGCTATGCTGTTAATAAATGAGCACATGCATAAGATATGGAAGGATCAAGTTAAGAATAAAAGTTTGCAGTCAAGTATTTCTAGTTGGATTACTAATCTTCCCTTTGATACAAAAATTAAAGAGTGGTTAGCTGCAGAAGAAAGATATAAGCAAGAGGTGCAGATGAAAAACATCCTTCCTGCTGTAGCTGATAAGTTTCTCACTGAAGCCCATGGAAATCATGCAGGAGCTAGCCTTCTGTGCTTTGATGAAATACAGGTCTGATGATGTAATGTTTCATAGATTTACTTTAGTGGTTCTTCAAGAATTATCTACATCCTTACCTACAGATATCTGTTACTGTCTTCTTTATAAATCCTTTTTTTTGTTAGTTATCTGAGCAAGAATATTAGGTTCAACTGATGTTTGTTACTATAAGTGGGAAGACAGAATATTCAAGTTAGTCATCTACTGTAATAAAATGTTTGAGTTCTACCCTTGTAGAATTCCTAAGTACAAACATGAATAACAGACCCTGTTAAAGAAATCTAATTTGCAACATGACTAAGTGTTATGTTATTGTACTACTACATCTAACGTGATTCATTTTGTAGATCAGTTTACTGCTACTTGAACTGGATATTGGAATTATATTATGAAGCGGGTTTTGTTTTACCTTATATTATTTTCTGCAAATGAGTGGGGCATAATTTTTCTTTGAATGATTAAGTTATATTCTTTATTTCGTGCAAATTTCTGAGTCGGATTGAAATTTTGGAGACGGAATCTTTAAATTTAATATCTTACTTGCTCTTGCAGACAGTTGATGTTTTTGCAATCGTAGCATTATCTGGAATTCTAAGTAGATTGTTAAGCAATGGAACAATTCTTGTTGCCACCAGTAATCGTGCACCGAGAGACCTGAATCAGGTGTCTTTATACTAAATAAATTTATGTTTTTATGCTTCCTTTGGTGTTCTATCCAGGACTCTGTGACATGCTATGCATGGGACTTTGAACATATATTGCACCCCATATAAAATGTTCCTGCAACTTCTCTCCTTCCTTTCAGGATGGTATGCAAAAGGAAATCTTCCAAAAGCTTGTAGCAAAATTGGATGAACAATGTGATAACTGTCTAATAGGAAGTGAAATTGACTATCGCCGTCTTATAGCAAAAAGATCTATTGATCAGGTGAGCATGAAGGCAAATCAATTATCTTTTCCATGTGTTTCTGTTTTTATGACTTTTAGTTGTGAAAGATGTGATGGCCACATCCTTAATTACCATACATGCAGATGTACGAGTATTGTACAGAACCTTAATGATTGACAAAGAGAGCAATAAAAAGAACAAGCTTGAAAATTTAAGCACATTTGAAGGTGTATCCTGGAGATAGCTCTGAATAATGAATGGTTTGCTAAACAAGAATGTGGTATTACATTGCAATAAGATTCAGTTTCTTTTTGTCTAAATTCTTTAATTGGTCCATTCAGCTGTAGGAATATTCACACTCGTAACATTTCTAAAGATTCTCCTGGCAAAAAGATGAACTTGAGTCTTAGTTGGTGTGGTTGAGATATATATTTTTGTTTCTTTCTGAACTTAATTGAATTTTCTATATTCTACTTCAGTCTCATCGTCTTCGTTGCTCCAATATATTGGTTATCTGTTAGTCATAGAATAAGTCCAACCTGTACTTAGATGTTGTTTTTGGGGTTAAGTGCATCTCCATTTTCCTATGTCTATTCAGGTTCATTATTTTTGGCCACTGAATAGTATCAAAACAGAGGAATTTGAGATTATGTGGGACAAGCTTACAAGACTATCTGGGGGAATAATCACTTCAAAGGCAATTCGAGTGATGTTTGGGAGGTACTCTTCAATCTATCTGCGTCCATTTTACTGATATATCTCACTCAGCTTTTGATATTACATTTTTTTCGCAATCAGAACATTGGAGGTTCGCCTAAGCTGTAACGGTTTGGCACGTTTCACATTTGAGTACCTATGCGGTCGACCGGTAAATTGCTTCATTTTGGGTAAAAGTATCTTTTATATTGTTGTGCTATTTAAATTAATACCATCTAAATCATTCTTTCTTCAAAATAATTTATAAGCTGAAACCTGCCTATAATGATTTAGGATTGTTTAAATGATGGTACTGTAAATAGAAAAGCTCGAAATATTTAGATTGTGGTTTAGTGTTTTTTTATAGTATCACTAATTCAAAGCTAGTCTATCTTTTTTCTCTCTCTTTTGGCGCTCTGTTCATGCTGGAACAATTTCTATTGTGTGTATGCTGATGCATATTTAGTATCATTCATTATCTGAAAACATTCGAAAACAGAAGCAATATCTGGTCGATTTTACGACTAAAGACTGTTAAACTTGCTTTGACTCTTTCTAAGATTTGTGCCTCGTATATTTTTGCACATCTTTAAATTGAAATCCTTCCTTCCATCTTGTAATGTACTTTTGCAAACAAAAGGAAGGAAACTTGATGAAACAAATGAAAATAGCTAGGTCCATGTCTAGATCAATATTCAAAGAGTTCATACTGTCATATTATTGGATATTACTACAAAGAAAAGTACTTTGGTGGAAAAATATGAGTATTCCTTCCTAAAAAATATCTTCCAAGTCTCAGATGATTCTTACTGTTTGTGAGTGTATACTAAAGCTATCAATTCCTGTCCCTGATAGATGAACCAACCACTCAGTGACATCTGCACTGCATTTTAATTTAATTTTTTGATGCTTGACCTTGTTGCACGTCCCCCTTTACCTTCTTTTTCCTGTTTGATCCCATTAGCAATTATTGCAGGTTGGAGCCGCAGATTATATTTCTGTAGCTAAAAATTACCACATGATCTTTATCTCAGACATCCCTACTATGAGCATGCGAATTCGTGATAAGGTACCAAGGCTGCTTAAGTGAATGCTATTTCCTTCAGTACATCAGTATCAATTCCTACAGCATTTTTGTGCATGCAAGTTTTTGTGATTTACATCAGGCTTTAAATGAATAGATATGCTTCTTATCGCCCATGCTGTTCACTTGACATTCTTCTTTTTCCTTCTTTCAGTTTAATGTAAGGAGAAATTGCCTATTTTTCACTTTAGTCTTTCTTTTCTTATTTTACCTATTACATCAAGGGGGAAGGGAGCTTTTGAAGGTCGAACAGGTTCCCTTAAAATGTCATCTCAAGGGAAAATCATACTTGTCTCAAGGTTTATGATAAACTTACTTCGAAACTTACCAGCCACCATTAGTAGTATACAATAAGATACAGCTTCTAGATTCCTGATTGCTATGCGCTTAGCTTGAGTTTGAACATGTTCCATGGATCATGGTGGCTTATTCAGTCTCATGGATGGGTTTCTGAAGTATAGTCGCCCTCAGTGTATTTAGGGATCATAGTTTTCAGCATACTAAAATATGGTGCCATTTTAGTGAAACAATTTAAGGCACCTTTTAAGGACAACAGTTTACAAGCTACCTAATAGATTGCTCTATATGCTTGCAAGGTGCTTGTGCAGTTTATCAGGTTATCCTGTTTTTCTTGGATAAGACTGACCAATGTGTGAGCATTCTAAAGCTTCCAATGATTATCTTATCTTTGGAAAGCTAAGACAAACTGATAGACTGACAGTCTAATAAACAGATTGATATTGCTTCTGTATGATTACCAGCTACAATTACCGATACTGGGTTTCTCGCTTCCAGGCTCGGAGATTTATAACTCTCATTGATGAACTTTACAATCACCATTGCTGCCTATACTGTTCTGCTGCTTCTTCAATAGATGACCTATTTCAAGGAACTGAAGAGGGTACACTTTTTGACTTGGAGAGGTGAGGAAATCATTTGATCATTCTTCTTTTGTGAGTTTCTTGACACATTGGTCCATGGATGACCCCCACACCCTTTGGCTTTGCTTAGTTAGCTCTTTCATCTATTGACACGCATGAGTTTCATCAGAAATTATTTTACACTACCTAGCATACTTGCAACATGTCATCAATTCATTATAGATCAATGTTATATAACAAAGTATTCCCTAAAAGTATCAAAATTCTATTATGAGAAGTTTCCTAGAGCCATGGAGGTTTTTTTTTCATTTTTTTTAATTATATCTGTTTTCTGCTTCTTTTCTCCTGAGCAGAGCCAAGTTCTTTCATTAGCTAGGGTTTTATTGTACCATTTTGACATTGTTTCTCATGATGCAAGTTTTATGTGTCAATTTTCAGTGAAAAATGTGCGCTGTGCTTTACCTCTGCTTACGGTGTGCCCTATTTTCATTTTTGTTTTTCCTATATTCTGACAGTTCAGTTTTATGTTGCCCTGTACGTCTTTATTTTTTCTTTTTATGACTTAGTGTGCTTTTGGCCTAATATCTCATAATGTAAATTAACTATGATTCGTCAAGGACAATCCTAAAGCATTAATATACATTAGAGAGAGAGAGAGAGAGAGAGATGATTTACTTGCTGCGATTTCAATGAATAATTGATTTTAGTAGAATAGATTGTTATGTTAGTAATACTTATGAAAGGATTCGAGGATTAAAAGACCAAATATGTCGTCCTTGTATGCAGACGTGATATTTCCCTCCAGAAAATGAATCATAACATTTTCATTAACAGAGTGATGTGATAAATTGATCAATTCAAATTTAGGCACAAATAATTGTCTCTTTTTAATGCAAAAGACATAGTTTTATATTACACATTGCTTCCCAAATGGCAATGTCATCTAAACCTGCTATTAAGAAATCTAAGGGTATGCACTAGGTTGGTAGCATGATATCAGGATTGGCAGTAAAATGGATATAGTGAATTTACTGTTTTAAAAGAGTATGGAAGTGACTTTTGGCATAGACATTACTTCTCTTTTATGTCTGGTGACTGATGATCAAGTTTCTGGTCAAGTACATTCTCAGTGAGAAAATCGAATCAAATATGAATGGATAACATTCGTAAGGCCAGTCTTTGACCCGTCTAGAGTTGCTGGAAAACTTTAAAGTTTAAGCAATATGCCATCTACATCACCTGTCTTTTAGCTTCAACTTCTGTCTTTGGTTATAAAGACTACATTGGTTCATTTCTGCTCTCCTTTTCCAGCTTCCAATTTGAAACAGAGACTGAAGGTGCCAAACTGCGACGAGATGTTCTAGCAGAGGGCACAGTTAGTTCTGGTGGTACACCAACTGGAATTACTTCCATGCTATCTGGTCAAGAGGAGATGTTTGCATTTCGCCGAGCTGTAAGTCATTTTTTGCGTGATTGTCAATTTTTGCCGTCTTTTATCATGAATGTTCTACATTTTTTCTGTCAAGTCATAGGAAATGCTGTTTCTAAGTCCATAGTTTAGCATGTTAAACCTTCTCATAGAAGGTTATTGCAATTTCCCTGAAGGGTTAATCGCAGTAAAACCCCATCAGGTTTAGCATGCTTTGCATGTTAGTCTTAAAGTTACTTTCTCCCACTTTACTCCTTGAGTTGGTTTTGTAACACTTAACCCACTATTGCCATTGATGAAAACAAGTTTGTCGTCAAAACAACTAAGACTTGTACCCCTAGCAACATTCAGATAGTGTCCCATGCTGCACCCAATAATACCTGCTTCATTAGACTAGCAGAAGAAATTGTCATGCTGCCATAATAAGATGAATCTGGTGGATTCATTAACTCAGTTCTTGACTGGTGTATTCGCCATGGCCTAAGATTTGCTATCAGGAATAATCTGTTAATATCTTTTGTTCTATCTTTGTTATCTGGTAAGTTGTGGTTGTGATTGTGGCCTCTATATACTGTACATTAGGGCATGAACTAAAAGGCTGGTACATGCAGGTTTCCCGCTTGATTGAGATGCAAACACCTTTATACCTGGAAGGTGTCCGCCATCTTCATCCGTATTTCCAGAATCAAAAGGAAAGCTTTGGTACTCTTAATGCAAAAGCAACTCAATTTCGGGAACCATCTCTTGAAATCATTTGATGTGTACATCACGTCGAAACTTTTAGTACATTTTTTGTGCTCGTTTGCCATCATTTAATAGGATATACCGATAACAAAGGGAAATGAATTTTTAAACAACATTTTGCTATCTAGTTCTGTTCCTATTTCCAAGGATGCCCTTTTCCTCTTGATCTTCAGCCCGTAAAATTACACGTATATATATATATATATATATGGAAGTCAAATCCCTCTTCATATCCTGCAAAAGGTGTGACGTAAAATATTAAGCAATGGAGCAACCGAAGAACATAGTGAAGATAATAAGCTGGAGACAAGGAAGAAGTGTAAGTACTGGATGTATTCAATGTTGATTTTGGCATCAGGGTTGCGGGAGATAGCTGCAAAAGCATCACTAGACAAAACAATGGTGGAAGGGCATGGGCGTCTTGGGCAGAAATCCACCACCCTAACGTCGATGGTGGTGCCAATATCTCTGCATGGCTTGTTGCTGCCGCTCAAGCATCTTAATCTGTAGCGTCTGCCGCATGCAGCCCCGTTATCCCACAGCCCTTCACTCACAGCAACGAACAGATTTCCTGCTGGAAACTGATCATTTCTGTTTCCCCCGCACTTGGTGGCTGCACGAGTTAAATTTAGAGTAAATTTTATAATCAAATTCCATATCCTTCCTAATACGATTCTCAAACAACTGAAAAAACAAAAAAGCTGCTGCTAAATAATGATATAGAAACTTCTGAGAAATCAAATGTTGCTCACGGGTATATGGAGGATTGTAAGAAGTGGCAGTGCCAATGTGTCCAAGGACTAAGTTTATTTTAGCCAGACTGAATATGCTGATTAAGACAAATTTGAAGCGTAGGAGATCCATGATTATGGCTGTGGACTTTACTTCTGCCTAGGTAGGGTAGCTTGATTCTCGACTTCGGATGTGGGGGAAATGTGCCTAATTTACCTCAAATTTATACTAGCTGTAGATAAAATCAGCCCGAGGTTTCAAACTGATCTCTAAACCGTCCCCTTTATTTTTTTATTAAGGTATTTGAATGTGGATAGCTACTAAGAAAAGTTGCCAATATCTAAGCTGCAAGCAGCACGAGTACTTTTGGTTGGGAATCAATGGCAATTGCAGTCCACGTTGACAATGGATGGTGAAATGAATTCAGCTTGTTGACGATGAGAGGAGGGGTTGAGCATATGGTTTCCTGCGTCATGCACAATCTTTCCACTTTCCCCTAGAAATGTTTTGTTTTTTACAAACATGGTACGCTATCAAACTACCATCAATCACATTGTTCATAATCAAATAGGGTTTTGGAAATTTAGCACATGTCACTAAAGAAATACATTAGTAGGTTTCAAGAAACTTCATATATATATATATATAAATCCTCTACCCACTCTTATAAAACATGTCATCAAAGGAATCACAATCGTGTTGGTAACATGGTTCAAAGTCGCCGTCGCAGTTGCGGTCGCGGCCCAAACTGTTCCACATCTGTCTCGACGCATCGACCGCGGTCTCAGCGAAACGCAAATTTTTAAAATATTTAATATTTTAAAAATTGTAAAAAATATGATAAACAAAAATAATTAAAAATTAGTAAAAATAATAAAAATTCAAATTGATTTGGGATGATTCGGAGTGACTCGGGACGATTCGACCGTTTCTATCCATTTCGAAGACGTCTTGGTTGAGTTTTCGGTGATTCGGCCAAGTTCTCGACAATTCATTATCTCGGAACCATCTCATCCTGGTATCGGATCGGAAAGCCCATTTCTGGTGACGACTCAGCCAAGTCTTTGAACCATTGTTGGTACACTAACTAAGGTCTCTGTTAGGAAGAGTACAATGTTCATGTTTTCTCTCGGTTACATGTTTACAACATGAAAAATAACTCAACTGTCAAATATTATAGCTGATAGCTCTAAGTGATGTGAAGGCTGTGCTACGGAATTCAACTAACATAACATGTAAGATGTCCAAAGTAAAAGTCCACGGACCGCCACTAATGGACGACTAGCCTGCCCTGGAAATCAAAAGACAAATTCCCTTTGTTTAGTTAGCCTCGTCAATTAAGGATCCCACTGAAGGTGAGGGTGAAGCTGCAAAGGTCATTTATCTAATGAAATTGATGAAGTTATCTTTTTCATTAATTCAGTTCAGATCAAAGGTCCAAAGTAGGTGCAAGAATCGCTAGGGGTATCATGCAGCTCGGTTGATTGTTGGAGATGTTTCACTGCTTTTAATCCTAATTAGAAGCCAAATTGTTTGTTTGAATAGTAGTTGTTTGGGAAAAACTTTATTGGGGATTTTTAACACAATTTTTTCTCACCACCTTTATTATTTTTTGAGCTACTTTTTTTATCTCATGAATATCTAATGAATTCTTCTCTCACGCAAATAAAGAATTTGAAATTCCATACCAATTCTATGCATTTTCCAAACGAAAGAATTGCAATGACTTGGAATTCCAATTTTATAGAATTCGAATTCTAATTCGATTTCAATTCTATAGTACCAAACGCACCCTTTATGAGATTAAACTATTTATAGTAGATTGATGGAGGAATCATCAGAGAAGAGCAATGACATAATTATTGACAGTTTAGACTAGCGAGGCACTAGCTTGATGCACCAAAGTCAAATCGGAAAAACGAGATAAGTTTATACCGAATAGGCTTCAAAATCCTCCATTATCATATCCAAAGTTGAAGATATTAGGATGGACCGAACCCACGCTGACCCCGGTTGGTTTGCTCTCATATTGATGATACAATCCCGCAGCAGCACAATTGTTTAGTGTAAAAAATGAAGAATTGTTGTAATTAGCCTCAGCCGCCACCTTGCTAGCATGACTCGTCACACTGTTTTTCATGTTTTCCAGTGAATCTCTTAGTTGTTCAAGTTCGTGTAATCCAAGTTCATTAACAGGGGATTCCCACCAATAATGATTTTTGCTGGCTTTTCTCATGAGATCAAATGCCTCGCCTCTTTTCTTCTCAACTTCTAATTCACTGAGAATTTGAGTGAGCTGCAAGTTGAGCTCCCGGACACTACTGGCATTCCTGTGAGCCCCAACGAGGTGGAGTGCACTCGAGTTTGGCTGAGGATTTCTGCATCGCGCAATGAATTTATCGATTATGTAATCGACACTAGGATGGCCAAAAGAAAATACTTTTCCCGCTGGGGAAAAAACTATAATGGCTAATTCAACGCCACAGAGAGTGCTGAGTTCGTGCGCCTTCTTATAGAGTCCCGAACGGCGTTTTGAAAATGTAACTTGGAGATGATTCTTGATCTCAATTTTTGCAATTTTGATCTTTTGGCGACCCATGCTAGGTTTCTTTGCCATGATCTTCTTCTGAATACAAGAGGGAGAGAGGTTTTTTAGGTTAGGTTTGGTGGTTCTATGAAGAGTTATGGATAAAGTGGAGAAGCAACAATTTAAAGGGCCTCAAGTTTACTCTTGAATCTGGATAGATTGATTGTAATTTGTGCTAGCTAGTATATGTAATCATTAGGCATAATTACCCTTGATTTGGGAGTTTAAAAAAATCTTAGATCTTAATGCTATGATGGTGTGACATAAATCTTCTCTTAGTTGGCATTACAAGGTGAAGTATCAGTTATTATTGCAAGCCAAAGTCAACTCATATATATGTGTTTCTCTACTCATTTTGGGTATGAATTGATGATCAATTGGCACTCACACTCACTCTGTAGGCATTTGTTAGAGCACAGAAAGTGCTTTTGGCACGTTACTTATGTCTTCATAAAGAGCCGAAAGATGGAAGAGCATTTATAGAGGAGCAAAATGCTGTGTATAACTGTTTTTACCATAAAACGCTAGTAGTAATTAGGATAAGAAGTGAATCATAACGTAAGTGAATTGGCAGCAGCTTCACTTCACATGCCCTATATGCTAAGAACTAAGAGGGCAAATGGGTAAATAGGAATTGTGGCTTTTTTTTTTGTCAAAAAGGAATTGTAGCTATTTACCTCCTGCTATTAATTAATAATTACAGGGATTTTGTTAACAAGTGAAGAAATCGGTGAAAAAAAGTAAAACCTTAAAATTTAGGAAATAAAGCTAAGATGCAAAAGCTACCACGAATCAAAAAATTTAAGAAGATGCCAAATTGATAATTAGTCACACGTTCTTACTTGAAAGTGATTAGAAAACACTTGGTAAGAAATCTTCCAAAGATTCAAATATAGTATGATATATGCCAGCTATTAACGGAAAGCCATACAATAATCTGACAACCTTCAACTAGTTATCATCATTGTCTTTAAAGTAACAAAGGGTCATCAAAGCAAGAATTCTATCGTCATATCTGGATCAATAGTACTTTCTAAGGTTTTTGTTGTAGGTCAGTATCATACAGTTATGACAAGCTAAAAACCCCAGTAAACCTTATTCGCTGAACTTTGATCTCAAGGCCCATGGATTAAATCCGCCCAACTTTTCTCTACCTATTTAGCTAATATCCTATTGATTATCATTGTGAACTCTCCATGGTTCAAAACACTATACAATCATCGTCTATTCCTTTTGTTTTTACTCTTCTTCTTCTTTTGTACTACAAGGGGAAACATCGTTTGTCTATCGGTATTGTAAAAGGAACTAACGTGTACACGTGCAAGTATGAGAAAACCAACATAAGAAACAGGAACAACATGCTATTCATTTTTTTTTCAGTAATTCATTCAAATATTGGACGAAAATTTACTCATTATGATCAAACATTTTGCACAAGAATGGTGAATTTTATTGTAAAGGACGTTTCGTCCAATCAAAATGAAACCTAAATGCTTTTCATTTGTAGCGATGCACTTTCGAACCGTGATCCTAAACAACTTAGTATAGTGTCAATCAGGCATCAAAACCACGAATTGGGATTCTGTGATGTTGGCAGAAGACTTTTAAAGGTTTTAATTGTGGGGATCGACCAGGCAAGGCTAGAGCTTATCTTGATTGTTGATTTAAAATTTATTTAAATTTCAAATTAATAGCTGAGATTAGTTCGAACCAACTCGGTCGAACCAACTGTTAAATGTATTATGCAAGTGTTCCTGCAACTATTAGAATTGTTAATGGAGTCGAATTAGTCTGAG